TCCAGACCCACATCTTTCCCGCCTCCGAGCAGCCCAGGCCCAGCTAGGCCGGGCGGGCCGCAAGCAGAGCTCGCGGTCTCGGGTCCTCGCGGAGGTCTGCAGGCCGGCTGCGGTGCTCGGAGCCCGCGGGCGGGGTGCCGCTGAGCCCTTGCCCCAGGAAACGGCTTTCTACTTCTGTCCAGAGACAATTCTCCAGAGGGGGGGAGAGAGAGCCCCAAGGAACCCAGAAGGGACGTCGCCCCCTTAGGTCTAGCCAGCAACTGGAAGAAGAGGAACTATGCGAGGAGGTTTGGAAAGAGAACTGTCACCCCGAGCTCCACACGCCCGTGGAGACCCTGTTGTCGGAGCGCTCTTCCTGCTCCTCTTCCAAGATTTGGGCGTCCCTGAATTCGGAGAGGGGAAAGAGACCCAGAGCAGACTCCCAAGCCCCAGCCGGTTCGGCCCCCAGGCAACGGCTGGGGGCTCACCGGTCTTCCCGCGGGAAGCCCACATCTGCGCGCCACGTCCACAGGCCTCCTCCGAGTCTTCCCCACGAAGGGTCCCTTCGCTGGGCCCCGGGAGGCGGCTCGCAGGCAAGAACTGAAGGGTTGGGGGAAGGGGCCCTTAGCGCCGTTTTCTTTGGCAAACCACCAAACGGTCCTTTATTTTCAAATCAGGAAGCTAGAAAGGTGTCCCCACCCCATCAAAACTCACAAGTTTGTTTACATGTGATTTTCACAACTAACGGCTTTGATAACTGCTGCAATCCCAGGTCTGCTAAGGCAAAAGGACCTTCGCTATTCTCCGAGGAAAGTCGAATTGAGGGGTGGAGCTGACAGCCGAGGAGAAGGAGGGTGGAAACAGAAAGCCAGCTCAGCGGGAAACGCCCCCCGAAAGCTGTAGGTGTGACGCCCGGAGCTGCGGCCCGGTTACCGCGGGGCGGGGACTGCAGAGCGAGCCTCGGAGGCAGGGCAGGGGAAATTTTGTTTTTGTTTTCAGTGACCATTTTGATTTGGTTGTAAAACGTTCGCGGGTGCCCGCTTTTTGATGGCTGGCTCGACTACGTTTCCATTTGATACACTCGCGTCCAATTTCAGGCAGCCCGAGGGCCTAGACGTGCGAGGCCGCGTCAGCCCCGCCGCTTCCCCCGATCTTGCCCGTCCAGCGCAGCCCCAGAGCGGGCTGCAGCCGCCCAGACTCCCGGTTTGGGGAGAAAACGCTCCTTCTTAACCCCACGATTATTTCTCAAGGGGGGGGGGGGGGGGGGTGAAATCCAAGAGGTTGAAAAGCAAAATCTGGGCGCAGGCTGGGACCCTCGCACAGAGGCACCGGTCAGCAAAGGTCACTTCTCCGGGCGCACAGGGCAGCGTGGCCCCCCAAGGTGCCCTGCAGAAGCCCACGAAGAATGGACTCCGCAGCCCCTGTTGGCCAGGCGCCGCTTCTCGCCGGCTGCGGTTGCAGGACCACCCAGGACACCCGGCGTCCGGGGAACAATCTGGAAGGATCTTAGAACAACACCGGCAGAGCGCGGCCAGGCCCGCCTCGCCTCCCCACCCCCTCCCCGAAGTCGGGCCGACTGCGGGCGCAGACCCGATCTCTCCCCAGCGGCGGAGAGCGGACCGCAGGACTCAAACTCTCCTACGAGCAGTGGGAGGGGCGGCGGAGTGGGGGCTGCGGAGAGGACTCGTTTTAAGGAAAGAACCGCCTCTCTCTCTGGGCCTCCAGCCTGGAGGTTGCTCCCGGCCACTGGGTTTATTTTGATTTTGCAGGGAAGGCAGATGTTGACCTCTCTCCATCTTTGCTCGGCCCAGACAGGGAGACATCTTCCCCCAACCATTTGTTTCCCTGCGCCACCCCCCACCGGCGCACCATCCCAGGAGTCAGCTCCCCAGGCCTTTAAACCTTCTGGAATGTCACACATGGAAACCTTTAGCAAATGTTTGTTAATGATCATAACAAAGGCATCATTCAAATTAGACAGGTAATTACTACCAGAAGGACAACTGGGTGCTCACTGGCTCATCTACTCACTCGGCTTTAAACTCGCGAGGAGTTAGGGCCAGAAGACACCCCCAGACTAGCCTCCTTTTCGGGCATAAGCGCCTCCGAAATGAACTGTGAAGTTCCTATTTGTGGGCAAGAGCGCTGGCGTCCTGCGTTCAGGAGACTCGGGTGCGACAGGGCTGGCGCTATCCCGGTAGCAGAGCAGGTCTTCCTGGGTAGCTCGCTTCTACCCTCTCGGGTACTTGATCTAAAAACCCAGATCTCAACTTGTCTTAATAGCCTCGAAAGCCAATGCCCGCTTTTTCCTATTATTTCGCACTCTACTTTTTATGGGGGTCGTTAGTCCCCGTTCGTTATCTACAAACATTACGGTATCCTGTTAGCATTCCGAACAAGGGGCTGTTCATATATTTGCCTTCAATGATTTCCTGAAGGAACATGTGGAAGTAATAGTGAGCAGTGCAGTCACCCGAACTGAAGATGCACGAGAGGCAGGCGCGCAGGAGAGCTGGGGACTGGGGCCCCTGGCCCAGCCCCGGGCGTCTTCCCGAGCCTGACACCTCGGCAGCAGGTCCCAGTTAAGCACAGCACCCCTTGGACTACTTTCTGTGACCCTCCTCTGCCTACCGTCCCGTGTCCACCCTCATGATGAGGGAGAAGGTGATGGCTGGCCAACGCTCCAGTCTTAACTTGGCCCAGGGAATTCTCACTGCGGTGGGGGTGGAGGTAAAGGATGCCCCCCACCCCACGCGTCCCGCAGGAGAATTCAAAATCCGAGCGGGCCAGGAGGTTAATGCGCTCCCCTCCCCCACCCTCGCTAGGAAGCCCCACTGAGCCCAGGACTGGTTACTGGAGTGTCAGCGCCCCCTTTCCTTCGCGAGCAGGATCGTTGCCTTGCCTCGCGCCTTGGGAATAGGGTTTGGGGCTCCGCTCTTAACCCTGTGGAGTAGGAAAGGTCCCGCCCACGGGGCGAGGAGAAGCTCCGGGACGGTCAAAATGCACCCTCCCCGTGAATGCGGAGGTGGCGGGAGCTTCGTGGACTATTCTCCAAACGCCCAAGCCAGAGCCTTTTGATGTATGTGATAGAAGCCGGGACAGCCTCGCTCAGATGTCCCCGAAAACAAAGGCACGGCAAGATGAGTGGCCCGTTAAAGGTCGTTCTGTTGGAGACCGCCCCAAACCTACACAGACCCTTCATTCTTTGCACTTTCTTCCAAACCCGTTTTCAAAACAAACAAACAAACAAACAAACAAACAAACACGCTCCCCTTCCCAACCCACCATCTTCAAGTTGGGCTCAACAGCTTGTCTAATCTCGTCAGACGATCAGCGACTACAAGAGACTTCCTCAAAGACCTCAGGTTCAAAAAGATCCAACCGCTTGGAGACCCCTCCCGAGGGCCCTGTTTCTAGATGGGCTGGGAATTTCTGCGGGAAGCACACTTCTCGATTCCAGACTTAGGTTCTCTCTGGGCATAAAGTACAATTTTACGTGTCCTTTTTCTTTCTTTCGAAGAGGCTACTAAGCAACATAGTAGAGCAGTAGATACCCCCCAAATGAGGAGGTAAACTCATTCGGGAAATGATGGGCAGTTTGTATTTTCCCCGAACATCTTTCTCCGCAGAGCATCAACGCCTCCCCCTTCTTCCACCCCCACCCCATCTGGTCTGCTTCTCCCCGCCCCCCCCCCCAGTTGTTGTTGAAGTCTGGGGGCTGGAGCTGGACCCCCTGGTTGAGTAAGAGCAATAGCGAAGGCGCAGTCTGGAGGTTGGGAGGTTCAGAGCTCAGAGTTCTTGGAAACTTTTATTTTGAAGAGGCCAAGGGGGTGGGGCTTCATTTCCTGACAGCTATTTACTTACAGCAAATGATTAGTTTTAGAAGGATGGACTATAACATTGAATCAATTACAAAACGCGGTTTTTGAGCCCATTACAGTTGGAGCTAGAGGGAGAGAAACAGAGGAGGGGACTGCAGGGGAGGACCGCAGGCCTTGGACACACTTTTCACTACACATGTAGGATTTTCATTTCGAATTGACATAAGAGGAGAAGGTAAGGGAGAAGAAAAAAATGATTTTTTGTTTCTAAGAGAAGTCCCTGCCAGGCCTTTTGGGCTAGAAGAAGTGAGGTGACTTCACTCAAACTTTGGGCAATGAGGAAAAAACAAAAGTGGAGTTGAATTCCAGTAGAGTGTCCAGAAAGTAATTTATTTTGAATAAATTTCACTTGGAGGGAAGATAACCATAGAGTTCGAAAGTCTAGGGATTTAAAAAAAAACATTTTCCAGACCTATTTTTGAAAGCAGTGTTTTTCTAACAACTCTATGGCCTCCCTAAGAAATTGTTTAGGCTCACATTTTTGAGGTTTCTTTTGGGGCTGGGGTGGAATTAGTGTATACTGGGACGAGCACCAAGTAATGCTGAGTGGGGGCAGAGGTGTCTGCCTTCCTTTTGGCAGTGGGTCCTGGAAGACGACAGGTTTTTAATGAGTATTTTTCATTCCTCGCTCGCGGTTTGGCGGGACAACGTTGCCGCTGGTGGCACGGAGCGCGGCTGAAACACCGGGGGAGGTGGGAAGAGAAGAGCGCCAAGTGGGGCGCGGGAGGGGTTGCGGGGAGGATTGGAGTGAAGGGCTCGGCTGGAGGAGGCTGGACCTCGGGTGCCCGCTGGGCGCAATCGGCGCCGGCCCAGGGCGCATAATTACTGGACGGCGCAGCGCTGGCTGCGAACTGGGGCCAGATTTCCGCGCAACCGTGGCGGCTGCAAGACAGCAGAGGGGGCGCGTACTGGTAGAGGGTTTGGGGCGCTCCCCAGCGGTTTGTGGGATCAGTGAAGTGTGAGGGAGAGCGGGCGCCAGCCCCGCAGTGCGCTCGGGTTGCGCGCCCTAGCGCGGGGGCGACGGCGGCGCAGGCGGGCAGGCAGGCGGTCTCGAGTAATGACAAACACATTTGGCCGGGAGTGAAGAAGTCATCGTCGCCTCGCATTCCAGCAACTGGGATTTGAGGAATTTCGAACGGCGCTCCAAGGGGCCCTCATTTGCGTTGTGGTCCCCACCAATACCCGTCTTCGCGCGCCCCTTTCCTTGGTGGAACCGTTTTTGCAAACCCCGGAGCTCTGCTACTGCCCATTCCCGGCCACAGGAAGGAAAGAAGGAAGATCGCCAGAGTGCCCAATTTCTTGTGGGGGAAGTTAGGGATGACTTGGAATAGAAAAACTTGGTTCCAGGTAAGACAGAAAGAGGGAGGCGAGCCATCTTCATCACCCCTCTCCGGGCACCGAAGCCCCGAACCTCCCTCGCGCGTCCCTTTCCCCGCGGGAATGCGTGGCACTCGCCGCCTGCCTGTATTAGCCCTGCGCTGCTTCATCCTCTCCAGCGTCCAGTCTTTATTCCGCTCTCTAAGCGGGCCTTCTTGCGCCCTGATCTCTGCGGAGCCGTCTCCTTTCTCTGCCGTCTATCCCCATGGAAATCGGCTTTTACGTCTACACGTGAGATTAATTTTTCCGGCAGAGCAAGGGGAGCGGGCGACGTTCCCTTGGCTCGGGAACAACTGGGAACGGCGGTTCTGTTCGGAAGGGGTGGTCGTGGACGGCTCAGAGCGAGAGGAAGTATGTATGACCTGTTGAGGGGGCCCGGCGTCCCGGCTGCCTGGCCAGGCGTACAGGAGCTGCCAGTTGCCTGACCAAGCCTCTCGGCCGGGAAGTTCGTTCTGGGCTGGCTGTCAGTCGGCTGTCGGTCTATCCCGCAGCCAGAGCGTTCGTTCTGCACTTTGCTCCCGCAGCCCCACGTTGGGATGTACAGAAAGAGTGTCTGGAAGAACTTGCCACTTATCTCCGAGAGTGAGAGGCAAACCCGGGCAGGAGAGGGAGCGAGGACGGCCCTTATCGGGTCCAGGCTGCCCCGCGCCTGGCCAGGCTGCCTGGAAAAGCTTGGGGCTGGGCGGTGTGGGAAATGGCTTTTTGGCTTCACAGCCTAATTGCTCAACGTTTTGGACCGCCTCACCGCGGTCGCTCCCTACCAGAAGTAGGCAGCTTTTTAGAACAGGAAGAGACATCCAGGGCAAATGGGCGCGACAACCATCCGCACAGGCCCCCATACTAACACCCCGGAGCCCAGCGAGCCCCAGGGGCCGCTGGAGGGGAGGAAGAAGCGCCCCCGGCGTGCGCACACACGTTGCCGCGTTGGCTCTGTTTTTACACCCTTACCCTCCCCCCATCTGACCCACCCGGTCTGTGGTGCTGCTGCTTTGCATCCCTGTCCTTTTTTCCAGCTCCCTCGGCTTCCTCTTTTCTACAGTCTTCACGATAAAGGGGCCCGGCCTTTCCTCTGCTCCCCGACAGGCGAGGGCCCGACCAGCCTCGCTTTGACGCCCTGCTTCGGGGTTCTTGCTTTTGGTTTGACCCAAGGGTATCTGGATTCCGGGATTGGAGTTGTGAGAGCGGGCGGGGAGGCAGAAGAAAGAGGTAGGGTGGGGAAGGGGGAGGAGACACCGGTAAGAAACCCGTAGCTGACCCTCTGCCCTTGCACAGGCCTTGTGTAGACGGAGAAGGACCCTAAGCAGAGCTCCAGCTCCCGGCTCTCGGCCCCAGGTCCGTTTTCGTCCTAGGACGCGGGATTGGGAGGGGGGAAAGGGGAGGGGCATCGGGCTTAGGCTTTCCAGCTGCAAACGCGTCTGGCGCCGAGGCGGGCCGGTTTTGTGCCTCCTGGGGACCGGCCGTGGGCGGCGCACAGCTCTGGGACGCATCCTAGGGACACGGTGGTCAGCGCCTTTCCGCAAACTCCAGCGGTGGGTGGGTGGAACTCATCTGGCCTCCGTGGATCTGCGAGGAAGTTACTTTTTGCTGATGAAAAAGTAGCAATTCTGGGGAAGAGCTTAAAAGCCTGCTCGGTGACCGAAAGGTGTGGCTCTCAACGTCTCTCGTGTCTGGTTTCGCGGGGTCCGCGAGCAGCAACAGCTGTCGGGGGCGACGCGGGGATGTCTTGTGGGCGCGCCCCCTGCCCCCCACCCCCTGCACGGGATGCAGGATAGGGGACAAGTTGCTTTTGACCACGGCGTTCTAGTTCGGGCTCAGCTAGTGCTAGTCTTTTGCTGAATTTGCTCAGTGGCATTTCCTTTTGTTTAAAACTGAACAGGGAGCCAGGGATCGGTTAGAAGTAGGATGGAGGGGATAAAGAAAACCTCTGCAGTGGGGCGTTTCCTTCTCTTCTTACTGCAATCTCCCTTTCCTGCGGGAGCGGAGCGACGGGCGCTGGCGGGCGCGAGTGTGCACTGGGCAGCCGCGGCAAAGGCGAGCGTCGGGCAAGGGGTGACTGGGGGAGGCTCGGTTCCTAAAAGCCGAGGGGGCGCAGTGTCGGACCAATCGCTGGGGCCTTCTCCACGAGCAGCGGCTCCTGGCCGTGTCGCTTTCGAGCCCATAGGAGGCGCTGACGCGCGACTGTAACCCTAAACCCCGGGTTCCTCTCTTTCCACCCCTCCCAGCCCTACTCCCTCCACCCGGTCCAGCCCCCTCTCAGGTCTCAACCGAAAACAATGCAAAAGCCAAGCGTCTTGCCTGGGGCTCAGCGGCGCTGCCGCTCTGAGGCCAGGAGCGCGGCGAACTAGGGCGCAGAACCCCAGAGCGGACGGTAGTCACCACCATCCCCCGGGTGTCCGAGTCGCGGAGGGCGTGGAGGTGGCGGGAGTGGGAGCGGCCCTCTTCCTGTACGTGTGGGTGTGGCGGGGCAGGGGGCCGACAGTTTTAGCGCGGAACCTCCCAGGCGAAGGTGGGCGAGCCGCGGTCGGGGCTGCGCTGTCGGGGACCCGGAGCTTCAGCGGCCGACGGGAGACCTGGCCAGCCAGCGGGTAAGATTTGCGGGGCTGCTGCGCCCTCTAGCGGGCTCCCAGAGTGCGGTCCAACCTTCCGTCAGCCTCCTGCGTCTGGGCACCCGGCTGAGACCAAGGACTAACCCGGGTCACCTTTTCTCTTTCTGGGGGCCTCTAATGGACGCCTCGCAGACACCGGGGCGGCCTGGGAGGCGCTGGAGGGGTGAGGGGCGGTAGGGAGCGAAGGTCCCCGGGTTTGGCGGTGAGGATGGGGCGTCGTAATAATTAAATGTGGGAGAAGCAGAGGACCGCGGAGGCTGGAGGGTTCCCTGCGCTCGTGGTGGGTAAGAGGGACTAGTCCCCGACTTTTGTTTTCCAACCCCTAGCAAACTTCCTACTGCTTAGGCGGCCCATTGCTGTTTGTTTTACGACCCCGCGTTATTGTGTAAACAAACGGGAACAGTCGTTTCCAATCAGTCCGCGATTCCCAGGGTGCACGGCTGTCGCGGCCCCCGCCCGGAGGGATTTAGAGGGGTGACAATGGCATGCGAACAGAATGGGCCGGGCGGGGCCGGCAACGGCGTCGCGGCCCCAACCCCGCGCGGCCCAGGTGGCCTCCCTCCTCGAGTGGGCGGAAACTCTGAGATGGGGAGAGCGTTGGCTAAGCAAAATCCTGAACCAGTCAGCCTCCTCTCGAGTGGCTTTTCCTGCTGAATTTTTGAGGCCTGGAATGGCAGCGTCGTTTCCTGGCTTCTGAGGTCCCCGCTCCCCTGCTCGGAGTGAGATAGTGATGGTGCCTGTCCCTTGAATACTCCTGGGCCCCCACGGAGAGATTCAGAAAGCTTCCCCATTCCTGCTTCCATTCTTCGGGCTTTGAAAGGATGTCGGTACGAAACCTTTAATGCACAGTCTAAGAAAGAAAGAGATTAGAAGTTAAGCTTTGGGATATTTTAGCACAGAATTTACAGACAAGGCGTCAGCGTCCCCAGGAACCCCTGGAGGCACGTCCTTGGGCTAGCACTGCCATCTGCTGGCCACTTTCGAGAACTGCAGTGCCTCTCCGGGAATGGGCTTCGCGGAGATTCTAAGCAAGTCGTGGCATCAGGAAGATGGTTTTCTTTTCTTTTCTTTTCTTCTTCTTTTTCTTTTTTCTTTTTTTTTAGCATGGTAGGACCAAATGGAAGATGACTGATGATCTTTTCCTATAAAGCTACAAGAATGGTTGGGAGATAAGCATTTATTTTGTGTATCTTTGTGTACTTTTTTTTTTTTGCTTTGGTTGTTACTTCTTGGCGTATCAGAGCAGAACTTTCATTTCCCTTTATGACTTGATTACAACAGAAGGGAAGTGTCATTATTAGTCTTCATGGTTAAATATCTGATGCAGGGAGAGCAGAAATATTTGTAAAGGCACATTGTCCCATAAAATGCTCCCTTGTAGAAATATTCCAGCCTCAACCCACCACTGGAATGTCTAATGGAGCTCGAGGAGATCAAAACAGCAAAACATGCCCTGCTGAGATATAGATCCTGGTCAACACGCCCTCCCTGAAGCTACCACCAGTGTAGAAAGGCACTTGGATTGCCTGGACTGAAGTTATGAGACTGAGTAGAACATTTGTCACAGGGGCAAAAAACAGGATATGTAATTTTCACAGTTAGAATTAACTTAGGAGAGCTGAAATTAACTAAACCTCGGAAATCTGAATCTTGAAGTCGTCGGTGGCTTTTGGGACTGTGAGAGCGTCTCCTGTGGCCTTTAATTAGGCCAGGGTGGGGTGAAACTCAATATTCATGGGCTCTGCAGTGGGCGCTTCATGCAGTGGGTGAGCGGGAAGCTAGCTGACTGTGGCTTTATGAGAATGATGCTGTGCACGCTTACCTCTGGAAATAGGGCCCTTGCATTGCTTGCTCTGTTTACTCTCTAGTTAGCATGTTGACTTTGGTTATGGAGCCACTCTCAAGGGCTCTTCACTTTTGTTTGCAGGGCAAGGGGGCAACCTGTTAAAGAGAAGGAATGATGACTGCAAACAGATATGTTTCTCTGTTTATGTGACTGTATATTTGCTCAATTTAAAATAGCCTGGATAGCTACACCAGGCCTGGGCAGAGACCGAGTTCAGATCAGCTTCTCCCCCAGACAGCTGATGCGGTACAAGTCACACGGCCTCTGAGGCCTGCCTGTCACAGGAAGAAGTGGAAGTAGCCACTCTTGACATCCCTGTCATCGAAAACAGCTGAGGAGTGCACAGAAAAAAGTCAATATGAAAACGAATAGCTGTAGTTTCCAATGTAATTACACCATGTAATTTAATCTTTACAATAATATTGCAAGGTAAGCGAGTGAGGTGTGATTATCCCTGGTTTATAGAAAAGGAATGGAGGTTCACAGAGATGAACTAAGTGTTATATACGGGATCAGAGACGAGCCCAATATGATTTCTATCATATCTTCTAAGAGAAGGAATGAGAAAGAGAAGACAAGGGTATGTGGGGGGTGGGCGTTAGGGGAGGATCACAAGTCCTTGCCTGAAATCGAAGGTTTCTCAAACTTGTGGCAAATGTTTTTGAGCTGTGATTATAAAGGATTGAGACTTGAAGTCTAACATACACCTGTAGTTGGCATGAGAGAAATGATTATAATTTTTTAAAAAAAGCTTTGGATGAAAAGTATTGTTTCTCTTCGCAAAGTGACTTGTTCTTGCTGATTCATACGGTGCCATGTTTCTCCGAATCTGTAACGTCAGTTAGTCATATTTGCACATCTGACTTTTGGATGAGACTCAGGAGAGGGGTTACTGATTAAGGATGAGCTTTTACTCCCAGAGCAGAAAAAGCACTGGGTAGAGCAAGCCTCTTGCAGATTGTCACTACAGGGCCACTAGGCAGGGAAGCCTCCATTCGCTCTGGTTGTTTTTCATTACCTCCCAGTAGGGCAAACACTGCTATTACTCACAAGTACATTGATGAGTAATGACATGAAACTTAAATCCGCTTGGATTTCTAGCCAGGGAGCCACTCTTATCAGAGAAGGGCGTTTGAAATCTTAAGCAAAAACATGTTGATTCTCAGTATTGGCATCATTATCGCTCATTCCCAGGCCCTGCTTTCATTGCCCACTTTGTATGTCAGTAAGTATCCTACCTGGCAGCCGGTCCGCTGTATCTGGATGCGCAGAAGGAAATCTGGTGGGGCCTGGCCAGGGCGAAATGTTGCTCAAAGCCTGCCCTGTAAAAGCGGCAAACCCCTCTCTTAAGCCAGGGAATGCTTTAAAGATGCGTTGTTGGCAACTCCTGCTAAAGAAATACAGGATATAAATGTGATAAAACCCAAGACAGCAAGCTGGCTCTGGAGGGCGCCTTTGAAGTTGGCTAAGTGGATTATCAGTGGGAGGCTGATATATATATATGTACAAACACAGGAGCCCTTACTGCTAATTGAGGTAAATCAGGCTGGCCATCCTGGCTCTGGGGCCCACTGTGCCCATTACAGCAGAAGTGGGGGAACCTGCACCCGGGGCACAGGCCGGGAATCTCAGGAGCCCTCGGCCAGCCAACGTCATGCAAATTGCATTGGGTTCCCGGCACTCCACTTGTGTTTCTCTTGCTGTGGTGGCAGAGAGGAAAAGTGGGGCCCCAATTTGCATTAGGAAATAGTTGGGTGGGGGGAGGGGAACACACAGGCTGAAACACTGACCTTCCCTTGAGAGAGACCATATGGTAGATTGGAGAGAGCCTGGCTTTTGCCTCACGCAGACTTTGTGTTAGAATCCTGGCTTCATCACCAGCTGTGTGACTTCTGATCATTTGCTAAACCTCTCTGAGCTTCAGCTGCCACTTAAATTGGTCACAGGCCTATTATTAGCAAACACAACACACACAAGAAAACTTTGGCTTGGTAAACATTGGTTTCTCATTCCTGCCTTGGAGAAAACAGTGATCATTCATTCATTCTTTCCCTGTCTGACCCACCCCCTTCCCTGTTACCGGCATTTCATCTTTCTTCCTCCTTCATTTTCCTGGTGCAATTAAATGAAACATAACTCTGATTTCTGCAAGTAGATCACTGTGCCACTTTAAAAGCAAAAATTCATGATCAAACACCACCAAAAAGTACTAGGCCATTATATCCTGGATCTTCTCCAAACAACCAAACACACACACCTCCAAACCCTCTCCCACCAAAAAACCCTTGAACAACTAGAATAAATAGGCAGACATTGAAGTTCTCCTTTTTTTATTTTTATTTTTTTATTTTTTAGGCAGTTTAATTCAGGAATTGTGTGCACACATCTTAGTTTCCAAAGTCAGTGATGGGGCAGACTCAGTCCCATGATGTCATTCCAGTGGGGTGGGTTTTGAGGCTTTCAGGGACCCAGGGCTGCCCAGGCGGCTTCAGGGAAAACTTGGGTGCTCAGCAGCCCCAACACCAGCGAGCGCATTTACAGGCCCTCTTCATTGCCCCCAGTAAGACCCCTTCATCAGTGACTTCACGTGGGACGTGTGAGGGGAGATAAAGTGAGCGGGGATGTGCATGAAAAGACAAAGATCAAGAGAAGGGCCTTTTCAGAGAGGTGACTGGGTCAGTGCCTTTCTCACAGGGCAGCATGGGCCCCTCCTGAATCTTTCTGTTCCTTAATATTCTTTATCCTGTTTTGCTTCCTTCCTTCTTGCCCACTGCTTTACCGGCTTGTGTGTTGTGTACATTCAGTTTCGGTCTCTCCGTTTCTCTTCCATTCCCCAGGTTTCATTGCAAGGGATCAGAGTCCAGAGCTTGGTTTCTGTAGGTGCTATTACAGTCTTCGCGTGAAAACGAATCATCAGTCTCCACCCAGTCTTATCCTCTGCTCTGCTGCATCCCTTGAGACACAGGCATTTAGTCACACTTTCCTCTCACATTTCCTTTCCCTTCTTTACTGATCTCCCTTCCATGCCTGTGCGCTGGGCCTTCTGTGCCTTATTTGGCTCGACCGTGAGGGCCGCAGGTCCTAGGAGAACTTAAACTGGGAGCCCAGGTCTGAGTCTAGAATGGGACTCTGCATCACAAAGTGACACTACCCTCTAAGTGACATTGGTTAGTGGGACTTTCAAAAACTCTAGAGCAGAATGGCTCTTCGAGAATGAAATATTTGTTCTAGCCAAGCATCTTTTCCAAAGGTTGTAGAGGATGTGACCCTTGTGTACTTTCTGTAGTGAAACACAGCAAATGACAACCCATTTTGAGTGAAAACAGCTCAAGTTTGGAAAGTTGAGTAAATACATGTGTTTACTTCTTTGTTTTTCACATTCTTAATTATACTGGTGTAAAAAGAACAGTTCTCTTGGACACATTCCAAGTCCATAAAGTGAGACATTTAGGAATTTGAAAACTGCACGCAGTCCAAAGGGTTTTGGTTGCAGATGGCTTCTGTCATGATCTTGGGGCCCCATCAGGCTATTGGAGTTATTCCTTTTAAAAAAATATTATATTTATTTATCTTTAGGGAGGGGAAAGGAGAGAGAAAGAGAGGGAGGGAAACATAAATATTTGGTATGCGTCTGCTCCCGGGGACCTGGCCCGCGACACAGGCATGTGCCCTAGACGGGGAATCGAACTGACGACCCTCTGGTTCGCAAGCCTGGTGCTCAATCCACTGAGCCACACCAGCCAGGGCTGAATCATTCTTTACAGACATTATTTTAACTGTGAATCTTACACTGAGTTTTTTTTTTTTTTTTTTTTTTACTAAAATGATGCTGTTAACATTTTCTGTGGCTTAAAACACAAAGAGAGCTAAGCTCAGGGGTTGTTTCTATTGGTTAACACTGTTTCTGTTTGACTTTTGACTTTTCAGTTTTCCAGAGCTATGGGGACTTCCCATCTGGCAGTCCTGGTCCTAGGCTCTCTCCTTGCAGGTATGGATCTCAGTCTTCTTGGGGGTTGTTATCCTGGGGGAAGGCTTGTTTTCCAAGTTCTGTGCTTTGGGGCATAAACAGCCAAAAAGAGTGAAAAGAAGTAGAAAACCATAGGACATTAAAATGACCACAAACCTTCATTTTGTGTTTCAAGAAGAATATTCTCCAGGGGCAATTTTAGTATATGAAATATTGTTAGGAATAATAGTCTCAATTCACCCACTGCCCTCTTTCTTTTCCTGAGGCATAACCTTCCAGTAGAGATGGATCAGAAAAATTCAAGAATGTTAAAAAAAAAAAAGAAAGAAAAACTCTTGTCAAGGAAATTATACCTGTCTCAAGTGGAAGATGTTTAAATTGCTGGGGAAATCTTAGAACCACCTTTTCCAGCCATTCTTTTGTAAAGAATCTAATAAAATATTTGACCCTTGGGATTCCCACCAACTCTTTTTCACCAGGAGGATGCCATTGGAGCCATTTGTTGAAATATTTATTGGGCTTTTCTTAATTATCTTCCAGATATTTATGCATTGCAGATGTTTGCCATGAACCCAATAGTTTTTCTAGTCTGAGGCATTAACTCAAACCTACTAGCGTCTTTTGGTCTTATCTATATGGATCCTGTAGACTTGAGCAAGATCAATGATTTAATAGTTCTAAACTCCACTAATTATATGTCATTGACTCAGATGTGCTTACAACTTCTATCTTCACGAGCTTCAGGAGTTGTAGTTGGCACATATTAAAGATGGGTGGGATCCCCACATCGGGCTCTGAGGGAGAGTAGAGATAATTAATTACTCGGGTGTTTTCTAACAGCAGGGCAAGGAAGACTCATTCCCCCTTCCTACCAAAGAATAGTTTTGGAGGGGAGTAAGTGGGACAAAAACAAAGCAATTTTCATTTGAATTGTGCAATGTAAAAATAAAATTGTCAACTCTTTTGAATTAAAAAAATCAATATCATGAATGATAAAAAGGCTGAGGTACTGACTATAGATATGCATCATCTTTGAATGGCCCCTGGATCCAAGGAATAAAAAGCTGCTAAAGACAGTGGAACAACTGGGGAAAGACATATATACTAGAGAGTAGCATTATATTATGTTAAATTTATTTGGTAGGATCATCCTTTTTTAGTTATGCAGAAGAATGTCCTTGTTTTTAGGAGATAACATGTTGACCCATTAAATAAGAATCACTGTCTACAAGTAACTCTTAAATAGTTCAGCAAAATATATATGTGTATGCGTGAGTGGGAGAGAGAAAAGTATATATGGCAAACTCAAAATCAGGTGAAATAAAAATTTGTTTAAAGATTAAAAAAATTATTAACTCATAATGTATCTTCTATCAGTTTTATAACACAGGGGAAGCTTAGACTGAAATTTCAGGTTCTAAGATAAACTTAGACTTTTTCACTCTTGGGCTTTACTTATTCTTACTTTTGAGTGAAAATCTACATTGTCCCTCTTTGGTTTCTGGAAGTTATTAAAGAGAAGGCACATCTGAGTGTGGTTAAGAAGTGAAAGATGTGTAATTCTTGAGCACAAATCTGCTTTGTGCTTGGTTCAGTGAGTCTCCCTGCCTCTGTTCTCCTCCCCTTTCTTACTCAGGGAAACCTCTGCAGGGAATGTTGGCAATAAAGAACCCATATGTGCTTGAGCCTATACCATCTTGGGATATTTTATGGTCACACATAAGAGTCTGAAATATGGAATTAGAATCAGACGTCCTCTATCTGAGTGTTTGGGGGGTGAGTCTGGGGGGCTTGGTGCAGCTATTGAAGCCCTTGGAGCAATTGCTGCTCTCAGCAGATGTGATGGCTCTTATAATGGGGGGCCTTTCATGGGCATCTAGGCTAACGGATTTTTGTGTAGAAATGGTCATTGTTCATATAAGCGGCTACTGTTGCTTCTCTTGGTTCTCTGGGTGAAACCGTCCCTTCTGGCTGCATCCTATTCAGAGCTTGTTTCCTTTTCCAGGGCCGAGCCTAATTTTCTGCCAGCTTTCATTACCCTCTATCCTCCCAAATGAAAATGAAAAGGTTGTGCAGCTGAATTCATCCTTTTCTCTGAGATGCTCTGGGGAGAGTGAAGTGTCCTGGCTGTACCCCATATCTGAGGACAAGAAGGCCAATGTGACAATCAGAAATGAGGAGAACAACAGCGGCCTTTTTGTGAAAGTGCTAGAAGTGGCCAACGCCTCGGCGGCTCACACGGGGTTGTACACTTGCTATTACAACCATACACAGACAGAGGAAAATGAGATTGAAGGCAGTCACATTTACATCTACGTGCCAGGTGAGCTGGATGGGTCCCTGGGACTAACCTTGCTATTGTCTTGTCTTTCCTGTATTCTCTGGTCGAGATTTAAAAGAGTATAAAAATAATAAATATTTATTGGAGAAAATTAGAAAAATACACACGCAAACGCAAAATTAAGTTGATCATTTGTAATGTCACTGTCAACAAATAATTCATTGTTAACATTTTGGAATTGTATTAAGTTTCAAAAATCATTTTTATTGTGGCATATCCTTTATTGGTATTACACACACACACACACATACACACACACACACAAATATGAGATGTACTCATTTCTATTCAGTTCAGTCAAGTTCCACAGATATTTATTTTACATTTCCTGTGTGTCAGGCATTGTGTTATGTGTTGGGGGCACAAATTAATTAGGTAAATTCTATCTTGGTATTGTTTGTGGATCGTTATAATAGTTTAAAAATAAACAAGCTATTTCTCAAGTTTACTAATACGTGTATCTACTCCTGATGAATTGGAAGGCGTTGTTTGACTTCTTCATTAAAATTTAGAGGCAAATCTCATAGTTATGATGCTATCTTTTGTCCTCTGAGAAGTAGATGCCAAAATAGGAGTAGGGTGGGGTTAAGCATGGAAGGGTTTTATTGGGCAGAGGCCTATGGGAGAAAATGGGGAGGGATCCCGCAGCATCTGCTAGAGATGTTTGCATGGTAAGTGTGACCCTGAATGGAGGAGAGAGGGAGGTAAGGAGGGGTAGAGGAGCCCTAGACCCCTATGGAAGGCCCTGGAGTCCTCCAGCCTACAGAACCCTAGTTCCACACGCTCATTGGCTGAAAGCAGCTCCGGAGGGGTGGCCTTGGCTGTGGTGGATTTCAGAGCTGACCCCTGCAGTTGGAGGGATGTGTGTGGGGTGCTTTCTCACCGCGGCCACTCTGATTGACTAGGCTTAGCCATGAGCTGACTATAGGGGGTGGAAATTGTAAAAAGCATTTCCTAATTTAAAAATTCTGACTGTGTTCTTTAGTTTTGAACAGAGTTGATTATTTTATTGCCCATTTTTTGTTTTTTAGTAGTTTAAATTTTGATTGCTATTCCTGGCTAATATATATCAGTAATTTTCTTATTTGGGTACAGGCAATTTAGCAATATTTATACTTTAAAATCATCTTCTAGCTTCTATGATGATTAATGTTAGTGGGATGACAGCTTCTGGACATATGTGTGAAGGTAAAATTCATACCTACTAAGATTAATTTTATTAGGTATGAAATAAATGTTTTGTGTGTGTGTGTGTGTGTGTGTGTGTGTGTGTATATATATATATATAAATATATATGTGAAATTAATACCTAATATCCTTTTCTTTCTTTTTTAAACCACAGACCCAGATGTAGCCTTCGTACCTCTAGGAATGACAGATTATTTAGTCATCGTGGAGAACGATGATTTTGCCATCATACCTTGTCGCACAACTGATCCTCAGACGCCAGTAACCTTACTCAACAGGGATGAGGTGGTGCTCGCCGCCTATGACAGCAGACAGGGCTTTAATGGAAGCTTCACTGGTGGGCCCTATATCTGCGAGGCCATTGTCAGAGGGAAGAAGTTCCACACCATTCCATTTAACATTTATGCTTTAAAAGGTAACTGCCCTCTCTCTCCTTTTTTCTTTTTCTTTTTAAAGGATTTTATTTATTTATTTTTAGACAGGAGAAGGGAGGGAGAGAGGGAGAGAAACATCAATGTGTGGTTGCCTTTTGTGCGCCCCCTACTAACCTGGCCTTCAACCCAGGCTCATGCCCTAGACTGGGAATTGAACTGGTGACTCTTTGGTTCACAGGCCACTGAGCCACACCAGCTAGGGCATCCCTTCTTTAAATGAGAGTTACAGGCCTATGTTATATATCTGAAACTAATGTAATATTGTATGTCAACTGTAATTGAAAGATAAAAATATTTTTAAAATAGCTACAGGCAAAATAATCACATGTGTATAGTATTATTTTAAATACTGTATTTTACTATGTATAATGTGCACCCATGTTTCTGGGTGCATTATATACGAGATTATTATACCCATGGTATGTAATCCTTATACCCATGTATAATGTGCATCCATATTTTTCCCTCAAAAATTTGGGCAAAAAAGTGTGCATTACATATGACAAAATATGGTAGTCCCTGATGGTGGAGATCCTGAATTCTGACTAGAGGATTTAGGAGCCCACCTTTCCCATACAATGTTAGGCTGACCTCTGTGGCTATAGTAACACGAAGCTTAGCCTTACTGAAGGTAAAAGCTTTCTTACTCCTGTAAGATTTCATGTTTCATCAGCTGACTTCAAAAATACTATAAAGAATTCTTTTATTGTATAAGCCTCTTACTGTTCTTTTCACATTCCTGACTACAGAGGCTCTCAAAACAAACACAGACTTGAGGGGGAGGGTTGGAAGCCTAGATTAATTTTAGTAAAGAAAAGTGATTTTGATTTTGAGAAAAGCTTGTGGTTGTAGACTTCATCCCTTTGATGTGAAAGTTTAATGAGAATGGGAAAGTATAATAGGTGTTCATATCAGTGATTGATTGAACACTTAACATGCAGGTAAGGCAGTAGCAAGAGTATGCCATTTATTTCTCATTAAGGGCTTGTTTTGTGCCAGGCACTGTGCGAGGCTCTTGAAAAGTGCTGAGAGTAACTGGGGGGCAGAGAAGGAGAGAAGAGGAGAGTGAAGGGTGGGATAGGAGATCAGGGCCGAGAGGGGTGCCGATCGGCAAGGGCTGGCTGACTGAATGAATAAACGCACCGGCAAAGGCGACTGCAAAGGAGTACAGTCACAGTTCGTCCAGATGCTTGGGAATGTGGTGTTCTGTTTAATTGGAATTTGTTCTTACAAGTGTTATTATTTATGTATGTGCTATTTTGTATTGTAACTACATGCCAAATTGTGTGTGACAGCTCAAAATCAAGGCTTCTGAGATTTTCAAATTTGTCTTGATCAAAGTGGTTTGCAAGTTATTTTTCATGGTGTGCAAGTTATTTTTCATGGTTTTCTTAAAAAAAAGATCCCAAACCTTCTAAGAACCTAACTATACTACAGCTATGTAGGTCCTTTTGTTTGTTCTTTTTCAAAACAGCAACCTCAGAACTTGATCTAGAATTGGATGCTCCTAAAACTGTATACAAGTCAGGGGAAACCATTGTGCTCACGTGCATCGTCTTTAACAACGAGGTGGTGGACTTTCAGTGGACCTACCCTGGAGAAGTGGTAGGTACCCTCGAGGCTCCTGGTGGTATGGTGAGGAGCAGAGTTCAAAAGACCTGTTTGTTACTGACAGGGCACGGCACTTTGCTTCTCTAGACCTTAGCTTCCCATCTGGCTCTACAGCAGGCACATTTGGCTAGATGACTTTATGGCTCTTTGAGCAGTGGGACAGCTTGAGATGACAATAGCTGGACCAGGACATTCAGCATGTGTCAAGATTGTACACGGAAATTTCTTGTCCATAAGTCAGAAAGAAATAGGAAGGTTCGATGCCTACAAGATAACAACCAAAATGTTAGAAAAGCAAAAAAATGAATGTATTTTAAAACTTGTTATTGTTGAGACAGTCATTAATTCTCCCTTTCCTGACTCCTGTGCCTTTGGGTTTTGAGGCGTTAGTAATGCCGATTGCCTGGCCCCTTCCGTCTCTGCTTTGTTGCCTGCCACCCAGGATACTGTTCTGCCTCCTACCTGCCCAGTCTTTCTTGGCATGGCTCACCTTCAGTGAACAGGCATCATCCGAACCATTCAGCAAAGATTTAGTGGTTTTGCTAAATCCCAAGCGGTCTGTTAGAAGCCAGCCCATGCACAGGAGAAAGAAGGGGCTAGTGGAGGTGGACGTGAGGAAGGAAACCACTGTGTCATCCCTGATCACTGTGAATTTACAGGGTCTAACTCGTTCTAACACATGCGGTACGTGTGTAAGAGAACTGAGAGTAAAAGGCAGTGGCAGGCCAATGCAGAATGCCTAACAGTGCTTACTACAGCAGTCTCGGGGAACAAAAACCTATGTATATTTTTCCCTTCACGTCTCATAGGCAAATTTCTGCTTTTATACGTCTTCCCTGAAATATGAAGCTATTTGATTTTTCTGTTCATACTTGATTGCCTTTACTACTTAAAACATAAAATGTCTTTTTCATTTCTTAGAGATAGACATTTTTCTCGTCGAACCAAAGTACATGCTATTTGGCCCCCAAATATACAAGTATATAATCAATTTTTTTGTCTGATAATAAAAGTAATGCAGCTTTATTTTTGAAACTTTATAAAATAAAGAGAAACAGGATGCACTTCCCAGAACATCGCTGTTAATATCTTAGGGAGATAAATCCTTTAAATACTTTGTATATATGATAAATGTTTAATAATTAATAGGTATTTTACTTTAAATAGTACTTTGTTATATCCTTTTCCCTTTGGCAATATAGCACAAACAGCTTACTATGTCATTAAATATCCTTTTAAAATGAGATTTTCTACAGAGCTAGCTTACAAGCGACTTTTGAAAATCAGATTTTATTTTTTAGAGCAGTTTAGGTTTACAGCAGACTTAAGTGGAAGGTACAGAGATTTCCCACACAGGCACAGCTTCCCCCGTTGCCACCATCCTCGCAGGGTGGTACATTGTCACATTGTTGTCACCTGTCATCCATAGTTTACAAGAGGTTCACTCCCAGGAGCTAGCTTTTAAAGTCAGTTTTCCTTATTCTGCTGTAGAAAAGCAAAGGCGGCGTAATGCTGGAGGAAATCAAGGACCCGTCCCTCAAATTGGTGTACACTCTGATGGTCCCCGAGGCCACGGTGAAAGACAGTGGTGATTATGAATGTGTTGCCCGCCAGGCCACCAGCGAGGTCAAAGAAATGAAGAAAGTCACCATTTCTGTCCATGGTACATTCTGCTTTCTAAAATGTCAGCGTCCACGCTGCTCGGGATCCACTGTGCAGTAATCATTGTTTAATGGAAACTCTTCCTTGTACAGAGAAAGGGTTCATTGAAATCAAACCCTACTTCAGCCAGTTGGAAGCTGTCAACCTGCATGAAGTCAAACATTTTGTGGTGGATGTGCAGGCCTACCCACCTCCCAGGATATCCTGGCTCAAAGACAACCTGACTCTGATCGAAAACCTCACAGAGATCACCACTGACATCGAAAAGATTCAGGAAATAAGGTAAAGCACCCGACGCCCTCGTTCCGCGCCCCCCCCCCCCCGCCTGGTTCCATCCCCTGGATAGGCAGAGGTCTGTGTGTCCTACAACCAAACCAGGAGTCAATCTAGAAAATTTAACAGTCTGATTTGGGAGAAACTGGAAATCAAGTACCTTTCATGATAATACTGCAATGTGGTGATAGTATGTTGGTATTTAATGATAAGATGAGAAGAAAGAAGCATTAAAAATCTCTGTCCCCCATTGAAAAACAGGGTCTCAGATCCAGAGAGGGGTGGAGGAAAAAAACTAAAACTGGACCCACTTGGGTTGAATATATTCCTTGATGGGCATCACTCATATTGCAAGCAGACACGTATGGTGATTACAGAGGCAAGGCAATTATCACATAAACTGATGTAAAACCAGTCATCACTGACTTCCTTTGAAGCACGTTTGCCCCAGTGAGACCTCCACAGGAAAGAAGGGTGGAGCCTAGTCAAATTTGGTTAGGAGAAAAGTAAAATGAGGAGTTTGAATCCCTGCCCTCTGATGAGAGCGGTAGACTACTCTCATCTCTCAATTGGTCGTGGAGTTTGGGGTAAGTCACGCCTCAGCCTCAGTTTTCTCATCTATAATGTAGGGTTAATAATTCTTTTGTCCTCTGAGGCATGGAATTAGACCAGGCGATACTTGAGGTCTCTTGCAGTTTAAGCTCTGATTAGAGTCCAGGAGCAGAGGGTACACCTTGAAGGACCCAACTCACCCAGCCTGGTGCTCTTGTCAGAAACCATCCCACAGAGACAAGTCAGTCCTCCCCTTCAAGCTACCAGGGAGGAGGGAAGGAAATCGAGGACCCATCCCACAGATTCACCTGTAATGGAGAAGCAGTGTCTGAGAACATGAAATTTTATGACCTGTAGACGATGTTGGAAAACAAAGTGGACCACTGAATCTGGGAGGCTTTCTGATGACCCAAAATGAAGGGGCACAGAGAGGTGGGCAGAGCTAAACTTTCCACCAGGCTGTGAGGCCAGGAGGAATTGGGTGCCCCTGGCACAGCCAACACTTTAGATGAGCACTCTCTGCAAGCCAGAGTCAATAGAAATGACAACTGAGTGGTTCAGGAAAACTGCCTGTTAGAATTACGCGGCGTTCCTTCAGCACATACTCTTCTAGTTCCCGTTGTGGGCCAGATGAACAGGGTGGATGGGGTATCTGGATTCTTGGAGCTCAGCACTAGTGGATCCACCAGCTTTCCTGGCTGACCAGTATAGAAAATGAAGGACAGGAGATCATCTGGTATCAGCAGCCAGCTGCGCCTAAGGGTTCTCCCTACGGAAATGCAGTCCCAGAGCACGTCCAGGACAGTGCAGCCGAAGAAAAACCAGCCTCGCTTGCTCTCATCGCACCTACGAGTGCCCAGCATCTTGGGCTAGAAGACTCTAGTATGCAGGATACTTTTGAATCTATGAAATGCTTCTACACATCTAATTGTATTTAATTAATTCTCTAAATGACTCTGCATTATGCATACAATTTTTCTGTGCTGCACATATGGAAACTGGGGCATTTCAATAATGAGAATTTCAGTAATGCAAGGTCTGCTCACCACGAGAATGTCAAGAATAGCCAAGTTCTGCTCATCTTAACAAGTGCTCTTCTCCACTCTAGTTGCTCTTCCATCTTGTGGCATTTCATAAAGAAGGACAAATGGGGAAATGCTATATTGATGTATGCACACGCATATGCGTGGCCAAATGTCATTTATAATACACACATGTAAACATCTTTTGGGGGAACTTTGCTTTAATAAAGTATGCGGAAATATATTTTTTAAGTTGATTTTTTTGAATAGGTGATGGAATCTTCTGCTTTTATTAAAACCATTCAGACATAAAGAAGGTGCATTTTAAGAAGCCTCATTCTGCTCCTGTCCGCATCTGCCCAATACCCCTCTCCTCCTACCCACAGGGAAACTCTTATTAGTTTTGTTAGGTTCTTATAAAGTCTTCCAGAATTTTTTTAAAAGCAAATACAAGCGAGAAGGAATGTTATATCCTGGAAACCTCTCCATACCAATATGTAGAAAGTCTCCTCATGTTTTTTCTGTTGGTGTTTCATCGTTTGGCTGAACCACCTACATGATTGATATTTAGAGGAAGCAAGTGTTTTTTGAAAAGGTAAAAGTCAAGTTGGTGGGGCATGTTTATTCCAAATCAGAAGTCGAATCTTACTGGAGCTGATTGTGCTTGTACCCGCATGAGCCATTGCTCATCTTGCGATGTCTGGGCTTCTGCTTAAGAAATAAGTGTTTACAACTCAGACCTTCAATATGTTCAGAGTGTGTTGGATCCTGATGATCCAGACAAGAAAAGAAGATGTTTTTATTTTTGACAAAAATAAAGTTTAAATTGAACGTAGTAATCACTGAAGCAATTGGAATTCATTTGGATGCCTCTGGCTGAAACAGAGTTCTTTTTTTTTTTAAGGTATCGAAGCAAATTAAAGCTGATCCGTGCTAAGGAAGAAGACAGTGGCCATTATACTATTGTAGTTCAGAATGAAGATGACATGAAGAGCTACACTTTTGAACTCTTAACTCAAGGTACGTTCAGGGCAGTCTGAAGATAATGCTTGTTCATTGAATGAGTGAATGGGTGTCTCCTGAGGAGAGCCTGGTACTTTTCTCTCAGGTCGTGGAGGGAAAAGCAATACTTTTAGGGGAGAAGCAGGGACTGTAGATGTTGCACATCAGGGATAGTTTTGCTGGACTTAAGAATTCGCTTAATTCTAGGGGGTTCCAGGCTGCTGTGGAATAGTCTGATTGGAAATTTCTAAGCTCCAACAGCTTCCTTACCCCTTGCTTCTCAATCTTGCACCTACAAGTTCAGGGAAGAGTGAAGTGATGCCTTTTGGTCCAGATGTCCTTGGACTATTCCAGAGAGTTTGGACCTTTGTGCTTAACTCCCCTTGTAGACATGGTACAATGGCTCTTACCAGAAACCCAAGTTTTTTTGCTTTTATATTCAGCATGTATAGACTGAGTACCTATCATGTGCCAAAAACTGTCTTAGATGGGCTCATTTGAGCCTCACAGTAAATCTAGGATACAAGCAATAGCCTATTTCTAAATTGTTTTATCACAGATTTAAAAAAAAATCTTTAAAACTTAATAATATCCTGCAGATACACCCTGGTAAATGCTGCTTTAGATTCCTATGGCGCTGAATCCATTAGTTGAATCCCAAGCTATATTAATTTTAAGAGCCTCTTTGCCTTTCCAGCCAAATAACCACAGGGGCTTTTTGCTTCCCTCATTCCAGATTTAAAACACCACGGGGCACAAATCCCAAAGCACTGAAACTGTGAAAATGCTCTTAGCCAAGTGGGTCTGTGCAAGCTGGAGTGTTACTATGCCACGACCTCCTTTCAGGCAGTTACTTGATTTGTAGGTTTGAATGCCCTGTGGGCAAGTTCTGAACGCATATTCCATGTTGCAGTTTCCAGGAGTTTTGGGTCAGGCGCCATTGTTTTGATTTCTTTCCACCTCTTGCAGTTCCCTCATCTATTCTGGACTTGGTCGATGACCACCATGGCTCTACAGGGGGACAGACCGTGAGATGCACAGCTGCGGGGACACCTCTTCCTGATATTGAGTGGATGATTTGCAAGGATATCAAGAAGTATGGAAACTGGATATTCCTTTTTCATTTGTGGTCACAACGTTTCTTCCTTGATGCAGAGGACCTCAAATGCATTCAATTTCTTTTGTATCTGAGATTCTTACTTGGCCTGAGTCCCCTAAACTACAAGATAGGGTTCTTTACATGGTCCTTGTATGTGCACGTCCATGTGGGCAGAAGGTCCCTGACTTTCATCAGATTCTCCAAGGGTCTCTCATTTAAAAATAAAATGAATGTAAAGACCTACTCTTACAAGAGGATTTTTGCTCCCCTGACCCACATTTTCACCTCATAGTTCTTACATGGTGAACTTTACTTGGTGGCTAGTTTGGCATGTGAACATAAATGAAAATACTGCCCATGTGACTGCTCGCTACTTCATATGCCTACCTGCTGTTTGGTGGGAGGATTTACCTCACCAGTTCCTCCTTCATCCCCCATTCCTGAACCTTCTCCAGTGGGCACATGAGCAACACGTTCACGCTTCCATCCGGGGAGACTATGTTCAGAAGCCTCAACTACTTCTCTTAAAGGCTGAGACCTACCCCTTCCTAAGGGGTAAGGGGCCAGATTTGGATCTTGATTGGAACTACAGTCTAGGTCTCAAATCTCAGCCAGGTGATAGCTCCAACCCTACGACACCTCGGGGGCTCTTCACAGTGTAGTTAGGGAGAACAAAGGGCTCCAGGCCTTTTTGAAGAGGTAGGAAATTGGGAGAGTTAAACATTCTTGAAGTAAAAGAAAAAAACTGTTCAGTTTGCTCCTGGGTTCAAGGCTTGGAATTGGTAGTTATATTCGATTGGACTTTATCTCTGCCTTGCCTTCATAATCAGTTAACTTTCAGTTATCCACACATAGGTTGGTCTATCTTGGGTGTGTGCAAACAAGTTTTAATGCTCATATGCACATAAAATAAGAAAACCAACCTTTGGCAGCCCCAAATGTAGACAAGGTCAGAACGGCTTGCCGCCTTAAGTAATTTTCACTGTTCCACTCACCTCCTTTACTCTGGATAACTGGCTCTATATTTGTGTCCTTTTTCTTCCCAGATGTAATAATGAGACTTCATGGACAGTTTTGGCCAGCAACATCTCAAACATCATCACAGAGGTCCGCCCCTTGGACAGGAGTGTGGTGGAGGGCCAGGTGACATTCGCCAAAGTGGAGGAGACCATTGCCGTCCGATGTCTGGCTAAGAATCTCCTTGGGGTTGAGAACCGAGAACTGAAGCTGGTGGCCCCCAGTGAGTTGCTTGTCAACCAGGACAGCTCTCTCATTAGCCACGCCCTTTCTCCCTGAGGTGGAACTTTGAATTCCAGTTGGGGGTCCTATAGGAATGAAGGTCCCTAGGCCAAAATTCAGCTTTGATTGCTCTTACAGGGCCTTCTCATGGCATCTGTATGGGAGTCCTTTTTTTCAGATTCAGATCCAGAACTACACCTCGCAGAGGCCCCTTGGCATGTTGCTTATCTAACAGAATAGCCACGCAGTCTCTCTAGTCTGAGTGTGGGAATGGAGGAGGAAGAAGGATCTTCTGCCTTGGTGCTCCTTACAACAGCTGAGAGTAAAAATTAATGAAGCCCAAAGCAATATAAATAAAATGCCATCTTTCAAAATAAACTGAACCTAAGTTTCCTAGCTTATGGTAGTTTTCAATCTCATTTATCAATTTTTATGTTCCAATTCACATTCTGTCCAGAAGGTCACTATTGGAACACCTTTAGAGAATGTATTGTATTCCCCTGATTGAATTTTGTCCCTTTCTTTACCAAGGGAAGACTTGGAGTAGTCTCATGGGTGTAGACAACTGAGCGGAGCTGTTGCCCATCCCTAAAATGAGCCGGGCAACCCTCATGCTTCTCCATCAGGTTCAGGGATTTCTGTCCCAGTCACAACTACTCCGCCTTCCCGCCCTCCTATGTGTTCATGCAAATTTTCCACCACGCCTCTCTCTTTCTCCTCTAGCTCTGCGTTCCGAACTCACAGTGGCAGCTGCAGTCCTGGTGCTTTTGGTGATTGTGATAATCTCACTGATTGTCCTGGTTGTCATTTGGAAACAGGTAGGTATTTTCCTCAAAGAACTAACAATCTATGCAGCCATTGAGAACAGGAAGAATAGCAACCGCATTCAGTGCTTGGCACAGAGAAGGAACCCAACAATTATGTGTTGAGTTACTGTGTCCAGCCACTTTGCTGCTGCAGTTAGTTAAACTGGTGTTTTCGGACTTTGGTAATTCACCAGTTACCTGTCCTGATCATTCATAGAAACCAAGGTATGAAATTCGCTGGAGAGTCATTGAATCAATCAGCCCCGATGGACATGAATATATTTATGTGGACCCAATGCAGTTGCCTTATGACTCGAGATGGGAGTTTCCCAGAGATGGACTAGTGCTGGGTAAGTTTCTAGTGTGCGGGGTTATTCCCAAGACTCCCTTTCAGTTTGTACCTAACTTTGCTCTTTACAAGCCCATGGAGGAACGAGGGATCTGAGCTTGTGCTTAATAACAGCTAGGCAATAGAAATTGGCTTTCAGAAATATTTTTTGTCTTGAAAATGAGTTAATTGGATAACTGCAGTGATTTCCTTAAAATCTCATTTTATAGAAAATTATGGTTAAGGAAAATTTTATAAAAGAAGAAAGTTTAAGGAGACCTGCCAAAGATAGCCATCAAAATGGCTTTGCTTTAGAAATGACGCAAATTGAAAATGAGATGAGTTCCTGTGACTAAAAAGGGACAGATGAGAAATGAATGAGGACAACCACACAATGTATTTTGATCCAATACATTCTGAGGATATATTAGATAGTTCTTTAGAATATATATTGAATGTTTAGAATATAGACTATAAAACTATAGGTACATATTTAAGCAAAACATGAAAGAATAATTAAGCCAATTTATCACAGACTTAAATGTTTTAATCTTGGGCTGAGACCAAATACATGAAGCTTTAGTCCAGAGGATTTAAACAAAAAACACTTTCTGCATGAATGAAAACAGGACAAAGAGATGAAAGTTCGACCTAGAGGTGTGTCACTATGAATATTCTAATGGTATGTACTTTTGGAGGATGACAAAGGTCGTCTTTAGTAGTCTACTTGTCTGATTCCAAAATACAGCAAGGTTAGGTTTTCTTAGAGAGTTACTTAACCTGAAATCAAACAAGACATCTTAGCTACTTCCAATTCAAATACTTATATCTGGGAACTAAGCTTATTTTAAAAAAATTTCCCCTTGTTTCACAAAAAGGAGCAAGGAGCTGAGGAAAGTTAAGCAATAATAAAATATGAGGAAAAAGGGCAATGTCCCCAGTAAGCCAAGAGGCACTCCTGTGTCCTCGGCAGCTGAGCCCTCCCAGGGCGCAGGTGGGCGGCGGCTCCCCCATTTGCCTCAGTGCAGACGTGCAGCCAGAGGCCCTGCTGGCTGTCAGTGTCCCTTTAGGAGCTGGTCCTGCCCCGCGTAGCTCTAGGTGCTGAGACCAACCCCTCTGGGAAACGTCCCTTTTAGACTGTGAGCTCTTTAAGAGTGGGGCCAACAGCTTACATTTCTCTTTGTATCTCCCAACGTGCAGCCAAGGGTTGGGCGCCCAGGGTAGGTTTATCAATGCGGTTCCTGGTCCTTCTGACAGACAGGCAGCAAGGGGCCCAGCTGGAAGTTTACTTCACCACTCCTGGGAGCCAGGGACATCTTGAATACTGAAGTATTTGCAGTGGATAAGGCCTTATGGATGCAAAAGATGCCACTGTTTGCATATGGAAAGCAGAAGGGCAGAGAACCAGGAGGCTTGGGCGAGAGCCACAGAAAGCAAGTGCAGTGGAGCCCAGGGTCTGGCCCAGCACTCGAGCTGGTAGACAGTGTGCTTCCACCGGGGAGGGGAGGGCTGCACCCTCCTGTCTCCCGCCTGTGTTTTCCTTTTCCTTGCAAATGTTATTTGACAAAAGCAATTATACTAATTTCCTTCCCTGTGGGCTCAGTTCTGGCTTTGACATGATGACTTGGAGGAATCATTATGCTTCCTCAGTAGAGGAAAAGCACCACCCAGCTGTGCACCCACAAGCGCAGGCTGTGGTAAATAAAGCTGATGAGCCCTGACTGGTGTGGCTCAGTGGGTTCAGTCTTGTCTCGCAAAGCGAAGGGTCACCAGTTTAATTCCGGTCAGGGCACACGCCTGGGTTGCCGGCCAGTTGGGTGTGTGTGAGAGGCAACCGATCCATTGTTTTCTCACACATGGATGTTTCTCTTCTTGTCTTTCCCCCTCTCTGTAAAAATAAAATAAATAAAATAAAATAAAATAAAATAAAATAAAATAAGCTGATGTGTGTGTTAATGGTTCTGGCTGCCCACAGGTCGTATACTGGGATCTGGTGCATTTGGGAAAGTGGTTGAAGGAACTGCGTATGGATTAAGCCGGTCCCAACCTGTCATGAAAGTAGCAGTGAAGATGCTTAAACGTAAGTGTTCCTTCCTGGGGATATTTTTGGAACGTGGAGATATTAAATGAATTGCTTAAACTTACAAAGCCAGTAAATGCCAAATTTAGGACTAGCTCTCGATTCATTTGACTCTAGGTTTTATTTGTATTTGGACTCATGTCAGTTAGGTTTATTTAGATTGTTTTTATTGCCTGTATGTTGGAAAAATCAAGAGTTCTTATTTTTAATGACTTCTTTTTTTCACTCCAAAGACTAGGGATCAGTTATTAGAGTCTAGACCAGAGGCACTCTCTCTCCCTCTTTTAGACTCTTGGTAAATAAAAGAGCATCCAGTCACAGGATGAGCCATGTTTTTGGCTTTTTCGGGCCAGTTGGTTGCTCAGAACTGATGTGTGATTTATTTTTTCAACAGCCACAGCCCGATCCAGTGAAAAACAAGCTCTCATGTCTGAACTGAAGATAATGACCCACCTGGGGCCGCATTTAAACATTGTAAACTTGCTGGGAGCCTGCACCAAGTCAGGTGGGCTTACTGACCTGGGAGCGAGGGAGTTTGTAGAACAGTCTCAAACCCAGCTTTTCAAATCCCCACTTTGTTCATCCAAACGTGCCAGCGAATAAGTCCCTTGGATGGAGTTGACTGGATTCCACTGAACCAAGGAAAGCTCATTGTTTTGAGCAACATCTCTTGTCAGTGCAAACATAGCAATATGTGGCTTATCTGTTCATTTTCAAACGCATCTCCTAACCGATTTTGATCCCCACAGGCCCCATTTACATCATCACTGAGTACTGTTTCTACGGGGATTTGGTCAACTATTTGCATAAGAATAGGGACAGCTTCCTGAGCCGCCACCCAGAGAAGCTAAAGAAAGAGCTGGACATCTTTGGATTAAACCCAGCTGATGAAAGCACTCGGAGGTGGGTTCAGAGAGACGTTGCCGTGAATCATTGTTTTATGAGTTTCACCAATGGAGAGAATCCATATCCTGATAGACTCCATGTCTGCAGATTCTTTGCCAGGAAGTTGCAAGACTTAGAGTCCAACTACGCTGCCCCAACATCCTATGACACAGTGCCAATGAATACATGGTATTTGCCAGTGTTTGGGACCAGGCTATTGTATAGTGAGCCTTGCTGAGAGGCTTGAATGAAAGCAAGAGTTAGGATTGTTCTGGGAGCCATTTCCCTTTTCATATGTGGTCCACTTAACACCTACCAAAAATGCAGCACCGGCCAGGGATGCTTCAGTGCTTGTATTTTGAGAGCAACTGAGGATTGTCAAAGCTTGCGATACTGGTCCTTGCTGAACCTGGGCCTATAAATCAAACCAATGATAGTAATTCCTGTTGCAGAAACCCACAAATGGCTATAAAGATCTCTGTAGATCTGAAGTTCAGTAACATCAGGAAGTACAATGAGTTCATTTCATATTAAATTTCTCGATGGACACTAAATTGGTGCTAAATTTATTGAGTAGCAGGAATTGTCTGCCCAAGCCACATGGTCATGTGACATAGATTTATGACTTGTACAATGAAAAACAGAATAAAGACAGGCACACCTGAGTTGAGATAACTTGTGTATTTGTGTGATTATTGATTAATGCTCATCTCGCCAGCTAGACTGTCCCACGTGAAGGGTGCAGATGGGTTTTACTTTTACTCACCTCTGCCACCCCTGTGCCCACCACACTACCTTGCAGACTGGGTACCTGCCCATTGTTTACTGAATGTTGAGTGATCACTCTAAAGGGGCACCTGGATAAGGTTTCTTTTTCTGTTTTTATAGTTACGTTGTTTTATCTTTTGAAAACAATGGTGACTACATGGATATGAAGCAAGCTGACACCACCCAGTATGTCCCCATGCTGGAAAGGAAAGAGGTTTCTAAATATTCGGACATCCAGAGATCGCTGTATGACCGCCCAGCCTCATATAAGAAGAAATCCATGTTAGGTAAAAGTGTCTATGCTGATTCTTTGCACATTGTGCCCTTCCAGTGGTTTAATGCGATACTTAAGATACCCAGAGGAAGGTGAGCAGGTAGGGTAAGTAGAACTGCCAGGCCTCATAGTACAACCCACCTGTGACCTTGAAAAGGAGAAAAAGAATAAAGACAGATCTAATGTAATGAATTTTTCAGACTTTAAATATAATCATTTTAAAGAATTGTTTATTCTGATATAGTGATCTCTTTATGTCTTTAAAAAAAAAAAAAAGAAAACAAAAGTAAGGTAGTGTTGATTTTTTTTTTCCAATGACCTAACTTGGCCAAATTAAAAGTTGGCAATCTTATATTGTAAGATTGTAAAATTTATCTTGTAAAATTTGTTTATGTAAGTCTTTGATATCTATGCGTTCAATAACCCTTGCTTTTATCTTTGTTAATATCCAATTTGTGATAGAAAGTGGAAAGTGGATTGTTTGAGGTTATATTTTCTGACAAGGGTGTTGTTTGAAGGGAGATCTGTCTGTTTCAAAGCAGATGGGCATGTGGCAGGGTTGAATTGATTTATAAACTCTAGGGAGCCTAGTTGATGACCATACCAGATGGACCACCCCACATCTGCTGGGGGGTGGTCCCTCCAGGGTCCTAGCCTAATCACAGGTTTGCAGCACAGAGGAGGCTACTAGATGGGACCGATGTTGACTTGTCCTGTGATCTTGTATTATTGGATCTGAGCCACATTCCGTGCCCCCTCCCCCCTCAATTGGGCAATGCAAAAAAAAAAAAAAAAAAAAAAATTGAGCTGCTATGGAAAATGTTTTGAAAATCACAAATGTGCTCTGAATGCTTTCAGCGTTCTTAAGTGGAAGGTACAATCTATTACGAAAAGAATGTGCTACCCTGACCAGGTGGCTCGGATGGTTGGAGTGTCATACTGTACACCAAAAGGTTGTGGGTTTGATCCCTGGTCAGGGCATGTACCTAGGTTGTAGGTTCGATCCCCAGTCGGGATGCATGTGGGAGGCAACTGATGGATATTTCTCACATCAATGTTTCTCACATTGATGTTTCTCTCTCTCTACCCAGCCCCCCTGCTTTCCCTCTCTACCTCCCTTTCTCTTTCTCTGAAATCAATTTTAAAAAAGAAAAAAAACATATCCTCGGGTGAGGATCAAAAAAAAAAGAATGTGCTCATTTTGCAAAGCTCACTCAGTACACAATAATATTTTCCATTGCTGCAGTTCCAAGTTCCATTCATTCCCCATTGCCAAATGGGTAAATTCCAAGTCCTTTTTAAAGATGAGCCAGTGAGGACTGTCGGAATCAGTGCTTCCTCTCCACTCCTGTATTGTTAAAAATAGTTTACATTGCTTCCCAGGCTGGACCTGGCTCCAGATGTCAGGAGAACCTGATTCATGCTCAGCCCAGGCCCTGTTGGCAGGCAGACCGCTGCTTCCTGGCCTGCCCCTAGCTGGCTGGAAAAATATGAATGGCTGCAGCTACTCTTCACTTGCCTGAATATTTTCAAAAAGAACTGAGAACTGCTGGCCTAGATTGCCTTCTTCCTCGAAAACCTTGGGATCCTTCCAGATGGGACTAAAAGTGGGGAAGTGGACAAGTTGCAGAGGGAACTAAATGCAAAATCATTGGCACTGATCTTTAAGATTGCTACCTCCAGTCCGACTGGTGGTTGATTTCATTCACCAAATAAGCCAAGTACTATGAAGGTGGCTTTAAAAAGAAAAAAAAAAAAAAAAAAAAGAACCAATTCCTAGAAGATACTTTTTCAAAAGGTCCTCATGTATATTCATCATGGAAGATTTTAGTGTGTATGTGTTTTAATGATGGCTGAGGTGATTTGCTGAGGTTAAAAAAAAGAAATTTGGGAGGCAACAACAAAATATGTGTGACAGCCTATTAGGTTGGTTTTTATGGATATATATCTCTCATATAAATGTATATTTCTAAATAGATACATGTTTCTGTTGATATATTTGTTTTTAAAGGTAGTCTTTGCATAGTATTTATTTTTTAGCAATTAATTTTTATTTATTTACTTTTTGTTTTACAATCAACAGCTATATCATTTTAGTCATTAGCCTTAAATATGTAACATAGATTTTTAACCAAATCTGACTGTATTTATGAGTCTAGTCATGAATAAGACAAGTTACTGATGTTTACTTCCGAGAAGCTCATTCCTTAAATTCCAAGGCATTTTGTCTAGAGTTTGCATAGTTTAGATACCCACCTGTGAGGTGTGGAAACTCTATAATAAAATCATTTTATGGAGCTCTGACCATTGTGGCACAGCTGGTTGGGTGTCATCCCACAAAGCGAAAGGTTGCTGGTTCAATTCCCAGCCAGAGCACATGCCTGGGTTGCAGGTTGGGTTCCCAGTCAAAACACGTGCAAGAAGCATCCTTTTGATGCTTCTCTCTCACATTGATCTTTCTTACTCCCTCCCTCCTCCTCTCTCTAAAAAAATAAATAAAATTAAAAGAAAATCATTTTATGGGGATGTAAAATACAGCACAGGACATATAGTTAATGTTGTAATAACTATGTATTACATAGTTGGATACTGGAAATATTGGGGAGAACACTTTGTAAAGTATGATTGTCTAATCACTATGCTGTACACCCCAAACTAATACAGAATAATTTTCAATGGAAACTGTAATTGAAAATATTTTAAAAAAACAAAAATAAGAAAATCATTTCAGGCATTCTTTGGATAAGCCTGCCCAGCCTGCAGGGCAGTCCCCCCCACTGCCAAGTGGCAGGTGGTTGATGCCTCACGCTGTCTCCCAGCACCAACACTCTTAATGGCTTTTCTGCAGACTCAGAAGTCAAAAATCTTCTTTCGGATGACAGCTCGGAAGGCCTCACTTTGTTGGATTTGTTGAGCTTCACCTATCAAGTTGCTCGAGGAATGGAGTTTTTGGCTTCCAAAAATGTAAGCGCGTTTGTTCATGGAACACTCTTTAGACTCAGGCCGCAGGTTTGAGTGAGGTGAGCGTGGAAGGTAGCTCTTGGAGAGGCCAGGAGCAATGGCTGCTTCTCTCTTCTCTTCCCAGAGCAGAGTGGGAAGTCTGACATCATCAGGTGTCTACTCTTCTGCAGATCTTTCTTGCTCTTGGGAATAGTTGGAATGCGAGCCTGGGAGGTGAGCTCTTCTGGCTAGACGAGCCTCTCCGAGGTGTGCCAGGCAGCTCCATGCATCGCCATGGAGTGGCCAGTCTTGCAGGGGTGATGCTGTCTAGCTGCGGATGGGTTCACACTGAGACCATTTCTTCTGTTTCCGCACAGTGTGTCCACCGGGACCTGGCTGCTCGCAACGTCCTCCTGGCACAAGGGAAAATCGTGAAGATTTGTGACTTTGGCCTAGCCAGAGACATCATGCATGATTCAAACTATGTGTCAAAAGGCAGCGTAAGTGCTCCCCCTTCTCCCCGTTTGGCATGCTCACCTTGAATCTCTTGAAATCAGGTGTTGTTCCCAGCCATTTGGTGCCTATAATTTCAGTGTGGAGTCCACGAGACCCATGAATGGGCCCCCGGGGTCAGGATGAAAAGCACAGGCAGATTGCCCAGCTGTGAGCCCCAGTGTGGCATTTGGGGAAAGTTACTTGACCGCTCTGTGTCTTGATTATTGTCACTTCCTTGTCTGTAGCAGAGAGACAATAATACGTCTCTCCCTGGTTGCCGTGGGGGATTATGATTTATGATCAAATTCATTTTGATTATGATTTATGATCAAATTCATATAAAATGCTTAGGACAGTGCTTGGCACACAGAGCACCCAGTGTTAGCTACTAATGTGTAAATTGTGCACAACGGTGTGCATGCATGCATTTCCAAGGAGGGTATCTTTTACCAAATTTTCAAATGGCATCTGTGACCCCTAAAACAATTCTCTTAAAGTCATTCTATCTTACACTTTAACCTTTCTGCCCACCCCTTGGTCATCTAAGCAGATGGAGTAGCTGGGGATATGTCTGCCACCTGTAGGTACAAATCCAGATCATGCCACCCCACAGACTGTGAGACAGCCCACGGGGCTGCTGCACCCACCTGCAGAAGGACATTGGGTTATGCCCATGCTCTGTGTGTTTTGTGTACTCTGTGTCCATAACCTGTAGCTTTAGGCCTCTTGGAAAAACAACAACAACAACAACAACAGTGAACTTTGGCGGAGCCAAGGCATATTCAAAAAGGTTATGAATCTCTGTTATCTGCCCAGCAATTTTAGAGGGTTGAAGGATGCTAATGTGACTACTTGATGTATCTGCCCAGTTTAGTATTTCCACAGAAGGTTGGACAACCTCACAAAAGGACGCTGCAAAATTATCATTATGTCAGACTCTTCGTAGTGTTTCTTAAGTTCAAAATATAATTGGCTCTCAGATCCCTCGATCTGTTCTTAATTTTATTCCTAGGAATGCTTTAAACTAGGGCACTGGTCCAGTCAGGACTCAACACTTTTGGGGTAAAAATTCAAGATTAAGTATTTTTGGATGTTATTCCTTGGAAGAACATAAGAGAGAACACTGGCCTTCCATCATTCATCAAATACTTATTGTGCACCCACTGGGTGCCAGGCTCTCTTCTGGGTACTGAGAGTACCGCAGTGAACAACGCACAGAAGACACTCATGTGGGCCAACGTCAGTAGTGCAAGTTCTTCTTAGCCCAATAGACAGAACCTCTTCCTATTTCTGCTGCTGTGGATCATCAGTGTGTCCACTGGGTTTAATTTCCTCCCCCCCTTCCCTGCAGACCTTCCTGCCCGTGAAGTGGATGGCTCCTGAGAGCATCTTCGACAACCTCTACACCACGTTGAGCGACGTCTGGTCTTACGGCATCCTGCTCTGGGAGATCTTTTCCCTCGGTATGTGTCTGACAGCTCTGCTTGTTTGGGTGGTTCTGGAACAACATTGAGAAGGAAACACTGTGTTCTTCCAAGCTCCAGGAGGTAGTCAGTGTTGAGATATCTGGTGTCAGTCAAGTGCACTGTGGCCGATTTATATCACACATTGTGCACATGTGATGTCTGGTGTGTGCCTGTGCAGAATGAGGCAGGGGTCTTGGGGAGCTGTGCCATCACCCCTGACCTTTGCCCTCATTCCTGGCCTTTGTCCTTCTTCATCTTTGGGCAACATCAGAGTGACTTTCTTTCCAGTGGGAGTGCTCCTGACAACATCCACTCACCAGCTGCTTTTTCACTTAGGACTTTGGGTTAAGTGGGTTCACCAGTGGACAGTTGCCACTTCCTCACATCATGGTGATACATGCTCAGGTAAAAGGTAGTGTGGCAAGGAAAAGGGCGTGGCTCCCCTTTCTGGTCATCATTCTGGAGAAGTGACACCTCCTAGTTGTTCAGTCAGCCAGTCACCAGCTGCTGAACAACACAGGTGCCCCATGCTCCCCAGTGAGGGTCCTAAGAGCGGGAGGATTCACGACCCTGACCGCCAGACGGTTCCTTCCGGGAGATGAGACTCACACACTTAGTGATAAGCTGTTTGGTTCTGATTTAAAATCCTAAAGAAAGCCCAGGCAAAGAGAAAAGGAGCCCTAAAGTGGTTTTGGAAGGTTTTAGAGAGGAAACTAAACTTGACCTTGCCTTGGCCATAAACATGTGACATGTTTCATGATTTTACTGTGACCCTGATATGATAGTAAAGGGAGTCTTCTCTCTACCTGGCGTGCTTTTTCTGTGTCCCCTGTCCTGGAATGTCACTGTGTACCATCCCGGTGTGCGTACTCTGTTAAAAGCAGAGAAGTATCTCAACACTTCAAGCCCCAGTATTGACTTTTGCTTCAATTTCTGGTGAAAATGACTTTGTGACCTCAACAATTCAGAATTTCTTTTGCTTTTCTATTTTGCTTTGTATACATAGATCCAGTCATCAGGAACATTGAAAAGCACTTTTGAGCTTTTTTAGAGACGTAAAATTTTTGCCCAGGGGGTCTGTACTTGACCAACCCAGAAGTCTTGCTAAAATTTAAGGTTTGGGTGGGGAGATAACACTTCTTCCTTTCCCTGAAAGAACGAGTACTCCATGGTGGGGATCCCTAAATGTTTTCTAAACATGCTGTATGACTCCAAGTGTTTCAAAAACATATCAGGCACTTGTTAATCCCTGTTGCTTTCTTTTTTGGCTTTCAGGTGGCACACCCTACCCTGGCATGATGGTGGATTCTACTTTCTACAATAAGATCAAGAGTGGGTACCGGATGGCCAAGCCTGACCATGCCACCAGTGAAATGTGAGCCTGTCCCCATGCTGTGGGCCTGTGTTCCCGCCCAGGGGGTCTCTGGGGGAGGCGAGGGCAGTGGGAGCAGTAGGAGGGGGTACCCGCCACTCATCCCAGGGTTCACGCTGAGTTCTGTGCCCCTCCAGCTACGAGATCATGGTGAAATGTTGGAACAGTGAGCCAGAGAAGAGACCCTCCTTTTACCATCTGAGAGAGATTGTGGAGAACCTGCTGCCTGGACAATATAAAAAGGTTTGTCTGTGGGACAACATGGAGGGCTCTAGAGGGTATTATCTTAAATGAAGTAAGTCGGGCAGAGCAAGACAAATACTGTACGATTTCACTTACATGTGGAATCTAAAATAAACAAAACAAGCTAACTCACAGATACAGAGAACATTTTGATGTTTGCCAGATGGGAGGGGGTTTGGGGGGGCTGGGTGCAACAGGGAAAGGGATTAAGATGTGTAAATTGTTAGATATAAAATCAGTTACAGGGGTGTAAAGTACAGCCTATGTAAACATGGTGTCAGATGGGTACTGGACTTATCAGATGATCACTTTATAAATTATATAAATGTCTAATCATTTTCTTGCACAACCGAAACTAATATACTATTGTATGTCAACTGTAATTAAAAATATTAAAAAATATTAAAAAAAATGAAAGGTTTGCCTGGGCCTTTCAGATGGGTGGAAAGGAATGAGCAAAGGGAGAATACAATAGCTGGTAGTTATGTGAGTGAGCGGCACTGTTCAACACTATTTTAAAGGAACATTTTCAAAGGAGGAAAAAGATTGTATGACCCAGTGGCTGGGGTTGCATGGAGTGCTCCCCAAGGCCATGGTGGCTTTGGCGAATGAAAACCCGCTTCCTGCAGGGCTCCTCTTTCATCTTCAGGGTGCAACACCTGTAAGCACTTTATTCTCCAGATGTCTGAGTACCTGAAGCTACTGTGCGGTTAGAAGTCTCGGGGCATCCTCAGCCATTACATCGCTAATTTGAATGCACTTAAATCCATGCAAAATTGGCTTTTGCCAGCTCACTGGAAGGAGCAACCTCAGCTGTTATCTGTGGCTCCAGCTGGTTTTTTGTGGAGTAGGAAACATTGTTCAAAGGAACAAATGCAATTTCATGGAACCAAGCAGGATATGTTAACGAATGAAAAAGCTGCTGAGATGCTGAGAAGGAAAACCAGACATACTTGTATAGTAAACTCTATTTCTTATATTCAAATTAGTCACCCTGTAAACTCTTCATACTTTTTGCTTCTCTTCCTTCTTCTCAAGGAGGAGCAGTGTTCAGAGGCTGTACCCTGAACTGGAAGTGAAATACTTTTGCCTACTGATTATCCCACTGCCCATGTAAGCGAGGCAGTGGGGAAGCAGAAGGAAATTCACTGTAGGTCAGCCAGAGACACTCTGGTTGGAGAACATGTTTGGATGGAAAGAGACTGGAGCTAGTATTGAAAATTGGGTCTTTTTAGGTCAAAGGTTGTAGGTTTAGAGTTAAATTTCTGCAGTGTTTTGGGATCAGGAAGGCTCCAGGTATGGCACTCCTTATGGGAGTCCTCGTCACATTTTCTCAGGACCCATTCAAGCCCGGGAGAGACTATGTGATGAGGCAAGAAGGGTCCACGCTAGTCCCAGAGCAGGGGTGTTTGTGGGGAGCGGCGCAGTCATAGCTCCCGACTCAGAGGGGGGTCCTTGAGATCTGCCAGCAGAAGATTTCTGCCATTGGTGGCCTTTTCCTTCCCTTTTAAAACATTTTTTCAGTTATAGTTGACAATATGTATATGATATGTATAAAAATCAATATGATTTTATATTAGTTTCAGGTGTATGGCATAATGGTTAGACATTTATTTAATTTATGAAATGACCCTGCCCATAAGTCTAGTACCCACCAGCACCATACATCATTATTACAATATTATGGACTATTTTCCCTATGCTGTACTTTATATCCCTTGACTATTTTGTAACTACCAATTTGTGCTTCTTGATCCCTTTACCTTTTTCACCCCCCTTCCCCAAGCCCCCTCCACTCAGGCAACCATCAGTTTTTTCTCTGTACCTATGAGTGTGTTTTATTGGTCCATTTACAATATTTTGTTCTTTGGATTTTACATTCAGGGGTGTCCAACATGTGACCTGAAAGTCGCATGTGGCTCAGGATGGCTATGAATGCGGCCCAACACAAAACTGTAAATTTACTTAAAACATGAGATTTTTTTGTGATCACATGTCTCAATGTATTTAATGTGAGGCCCAAGACAACTCTTCTTCCAGTGTGGCCCAGAGATGCCAAAAGGTTGGACACCCCTGAAATCATATGGTATTTGTCTGTCTGTCTTATTTCACTGAGCATAATACCCTCTAGGTTCATTCACATTGTCACAAATGGAAAGATTTCTTCTTCCCTTTTTTTCTGAGGCTGAGTAATATTACGTTGTATATATGTACCACATGTTTATCCAGTTGTCTGCTGATCGGCATTTAGGTTGCTTCCATATCTGGTTCCATGCGCACTTCAAAAGAATGTATGTATATTCTGTTGCTTTGCTCTAAGACTATCAATTAAATCCATCTGGTCTAATGTGTCATTTAAGGCCGCTGTTTCCTTCATTTTCTGTTTGGAAGATCTAGTTATTGATGGCAATGGGGTGTGAAAGTCCCACACCGTCAGTCTCTTTATTTCCATCAATATTTGCTTTATATATTTACTTACTCCTATGTCGAGTGCATAAATGTTTACAAAGGTTATATCCTCTTGTTGAATTGATCTGTATATTATTGATGCCCTTCTTTGTCTCTTACTATAGCTTTTGTTTTAAAGTCTGTTTTGTCTGATATAATACTGCTATCCCAGGTTTTTTTTTTTTTTGGTTTCCATTTGCATGAAATATCTATTTCCATCCCTTTCAGTTTGTGCGTCTTTTGATCTGAAGTGGGCCTCTTGTAGAGAGAATATGTGTGTATCTTGTTTTCTTTTTTTTGAAATTATATTTCATTGATTATGCTATTACAGTTGACATGAGTTTCCCCCCTCCCTCCCTGCACCTAGCACCCCCCACTCTCTCAGGCAATCCCCACACCATTGTTCATGTCCATGGGTCATGCCTATAAGTTCTTTGGCTACTCCATTTCCTATACTGTACTTTATATCCCCTGGGCTATTCTGTAACTACCTATTTGTACATCTTAGTCCAATCACCTCTTCACCAATTCCCCAACTCTCCACTCCCATCTGGCAACCATCAAAACACTCTTCATATCCACGATTCTGTCTCTGTTCTTCTTGTTTTCTTAGTTTGTCTTTTAGATTGAATTGTTGATAGATATGTATTTTTTGCCATTTTATTATTCACAGTTTTGATCTTTTTCTTAAATAAGTTCCTTTAACATTTCTTATAATTATGGTTATTTCATATAATAAGTGATTATTGATAGGTACATAATTACTGCCATTTTATTCATATTTATGTTTTTTTTATTCTTCTTAAAGACATTTCTTTAATATTCTTATAATACTGATTTGGTGGTGATAAACTCTTTTAGTTTTTTTGTTGTCCGAGAAGTTCTTCATCCTTCAGTTTTAAATGATAACCTTTCTAGGTAGAGTAGTCTTGGTTGTAGGTCCTTGTTTTTCATCACTTTGAATATTTTTTGATGATCCCCCATAGCCTGCAAAGTTTCTGTGGAGAAATCAGCTGACAATCTTAGGGGAGCTCTCTTATAGGTAACTAATTGTCTTTCTCTTGCTGCTTTTAAGATTCTTTCTGTCTTTAACCTTAACCCTTTTAATTACAGGTCAGGGTGCATGTCTGCAGCCAAGATATCTCTTCTGATTTTTAACCACCACACTTGGGTATGGGCCCAGCCTTTTTCACATTTCTGCCCCTCCTACATGGCTGCTTCTTTATATCCTTAGTTATAGGACTTCCGTTTAGTCTTCAGATGATTTTCCAGGTTGATTGTTCTGTAATTTAGTTGTAGTGTTGATGTGGCCATGGGAGGTGGTGGCCTTTCTTCATGTCTCACATCTCTGGGGACAGTTGACATCTTACTGTCTTTCAGTTGTCTAAATCCCACATATGTGAAGTAATTGGAAAACAGTTAAAAAAATACCCATGTATGCCATTTGTTCAATAACACCTGGTTAACTATGGGAAATGGATGTCTGCAGAGTTATGAGAAGATTCACCTGGATTTCCTGAAGAGCGACCATCCCGCTGTGGCTCGCATGCGAGTGGATGCTGACAATGCCTACATTGGTGTCACCTACAAAAATGAGGAAGACAAGCTGAAGGACTGGGAGGGTGGCCTGGACGAGCAGAGGCTGAGTGCTGACAGTGGCTACATCATCCCTCTGCCTGACATTGACCCTGTTCCGGAGGAGGAAGACCTGGGCAAGAGGAACAGACACAGGTAGATGTGGGCGAGACTTCTGTTTCCAGCAGAGCTTCCCTGCCCTTGGCCCAGCGCATGTGCTGGAGAGAGAGGAGCTGTCTCCCGGATGATCAGGCTCCCAGTGCTGAACATTTTTTAGGGGAGCAAAGGGTAGAATCCCCAAGGGGTCTGTTTAGTTTTGGAAATGCTTCCCAGATGACCCTGGGGCTGGGGGAGGTGTAGGGCAGGGAAGGATGCACTCCTCTGGTGGAGAATCTTTGACCTAAGTCCTCAAGTAATTCAATCAAGCTGACACAGCAACTGAGTTTATTGAAATACTATAAGCCTCTTTTGCTGTTGTCTTAATTAATCATTCAGAAAGGTGAGAGAGGGGCTAAACTGGGCTATTTGACCCTCCCTCAGAGGTTTGTAACCCTAGGTGCAAATTAGAGTCACCTGGGGAAATTTAAAAATACTGATATACAAGCCTCACCCAGACCAAAAACTTCAAATCTCTGGGTGTGGGCCCAAGCATGGCCTAGTTGATTTGTGTTTTCTTTTTAACTTTGTATTATGGAAGAGTTCTAACATGCACAATTCAAACAGTATAGTGGACTTTCAGGTATCCATCACTCACCTGCAATGTGTATGACCACATGGCCAGTCTGCACGCATAGCCGTATTAATGCCTTCTCGTTTGCCTACTCTGGATTATTTTGAAGCACATCCTAGACATCATATCACTTCATCCATAAATATTCTAGTATGTATCCCTAATGATACACAGAGTCTCTGTTTTTAAAAATAACTATAGTTATTAAAAATAACTACAATGCCATTATCTCCCCCCCTAATTTGATAATAAATTATTATCTAGTTAGTTCTCCAATTTCTTTATCCTCTCACAAATACTATGTTACATTTGGTTTGTTCTGTTCAAGACCCAAATAAGAGTCACACGGTGCATTTAGTTGATATGTCTCTGTAAGTTTGTTCTGCCTGTTTTTGCCCCCTTGCATATTATTTGTGAAGAAACCAGAGCGTTTGCCTGTAGAGTTCTCACATTTAAAATTTTGCTGATTGTATCCTGCAGTGCATTTTACCATGTGCTTCTGTCTCATGTTTTTGTTGTGAACTGATAGTTTGTCTTGAGCCTTGATCTGACTCAGGCTAGATTTTGAGGCAAGCATGCTTCAAAGATTGTGCTGTGTCCCTGCTGTCCAGTTGTCTTTTTGTGATGCTATAGCAGCCACTGGTGATCATTATCTAGATCCATTAATTTATTACCAAGGTGCTGCACATGCACAGCCAGGACTAGACCGTTGGTTTACGCAGTCCAGGTGGAATGCCCCAATTCCCCGCTCTCTTCACTCAGCCCTTGAACAGAGCCAGGAGAAGGTGACAGTTGCCCCTGGTTGAAGGTCCAAGTTGTTATGAGTCTCCTTTATCCCTCTTCCTTTGTGACATTGTTGTCCCTTCTTCCTCATTCAGTTGATTATATACAATTATTTAGTCAGAAGCACAGGCGTTATTATTTTAGAGGCTTATGATTGCGACCTCTCAGCCAACTGAGGAATCAGGTCTAGACAGCCCTTGTTTGTTTGCATGCACCAGGTAATTTTAAAAGAATTTTAAAATTATTTTTTGTTTTTGTTTGGGAATGTGTGGTTTATATGAGATTTGGAGATGGGACAAAGTGACCTGTCTGACTTACCTTTCTAATTGTCCTTTGCTCAGGATAATTTTAAAAATGTGTTTATATTCCTTTAGCAAATAGCATTTCTCTGAGTTCTGGGGATCTGTGGTGGAAGTTCACGGGGGTGGGGGAAGGCCAAGCAGTGGGTCTCGGCACACTCCACAGATCTGTCATCTCTCTGGTTACCGTACTTTGTATTTGGGGCTCTGAGTAATATTTCAACTGTGAAAAGGATTCTGCATCTAAACAAAGTTAGAAAGTTAGAAAGTCACACTGGGATAAAAAACAGAAGAAAGGTGTCCCTGGAATTTTTCTAGAAGTACAGGAGTCTAGACTGCAGAATTTGACCCATTCAATAAGGAGAACAATTCTAGTTGATGAGTAGTTGTTGTGTTGGATAATTAGAAGTTCGACTCAGGTGATACATTCAATCTTTGAATCACACAAATTGAGTCCCAAATGGCTACGCAAGGTGGGATGAGTCTGTGGCCCTGACAGGTGGGCCGAGCACGGTGCATGTCTTAGCCAACTCAGGTTGCCATAACACAATACCACAGACTCGGGGTTTTAGCATGAGAGATTTATTTTCTCGCAGTTCTGGAGGCTGGAAGTTTAAGATCAAAGTGTTGGCAGGTTTGGTTTCTCCTGAGGCCTCTCAGCTTGGCTGGCAGATGGCCTCCTCCCTCTTGGGTCCTCACGTGGCCCTTTTTTGTGTGTGAGTACCTGTAATGTGTTGTTTTCTCCTTATAAGAACACCAGTCCTGTTGGAATTAAGGCTGCACATTTATGATCTCATTTAATCTTAATTGCCTCTTTAAATGTTCTATCTCCAAATATAGTCACATTAAGATTTCAAATTCAACATATGAATTTGGGGGAGGGGCACAATTTAGCCCATAGAAGAGAGGGGAACCCCCAAACTGGGACGCTCTGGGTGTAGCAGGCAGGAGTGGCTCTGAGGAACCCTATCTTTGGGCTCAGGGTGCTTGGCCTTGGGTGGGGAGTGGAGGTAGAGGGAAAGGCTTGCTGTAGGGAGCTCAGCGATCCTAGGTCAGAGCCTATCGGGAGCCAGCCCTGGGCTGTGATGTGGGCACTGTGGCCTGGGAACCAGAAGGGATCCCAGCCATCAGCTCTGGGGTCCACACTGCAGCCTAACGGGCAGCAAGGGTGATCTTGGGCTGAGTTTCTGTGGGCATCAGCTTCTGTGCCCACACGCCAGCCTTCTGTCTGTGAGATGGGTTGTCAGCGAGAGGCATATGTCAGGCCCTGGAGGGCCAGTTCTAGGGAGACTGACTTTGCTGCAGGACTCAGCTGTCCAACTTGCCCCAAGGAGGGGACCAGCAGTCCAAATCACAGCATCCAGGGAAGTGGCATAAGTGTAGGTCCCAGCTGAGTTGGGATCAATATTCAAGGGTTGACTCAGGCCGCCAGGCATTGGCCAAGGTCCCAGGAACAGAGTGTGGCCTGCCAGGGGAGAGGGAATAGCAGAACTAGATGGTTATCAAGACCAGCCAAGTGGCCTGGGGCTCCCAGTGAGGCTCCAGCACCAGGCTGTAAGTGATGTGGAGTACAAACTAGTAACTGAGGCAAAAGCTCATCGCAGGGAAGGGCCCAACCTGTGGGGCTGTGAAAGGAATCCTCAGTCCAGCAGCCCCACAGGTGTTAAGAGCTCTCTAGGCCTTGGGGGTCTGGGATGGATGGCAGCAGACTGTTCCCCATAGACTTCTGCTTGGCCAGGCTCAGTTCTCAGCTTGGAAATGATATGGAGAGGAGAGGAGAGGGGCTGAGGAGTCAGGCTGGGCTGACAGGCAGGAAACTGCTGAAAGGGTTGAGCGCCCTTGTTGGTTGTGTGTGAGAGCCTCCTCCTTCTGGCTGGCCAGCCAATAGCGTGGTTTCTGTGCTGTGTATGTAGCATGGTGCTGCTGCCTCACAGCGAGGAGGAGCCATTCCTGCCTGGCAGTCGATGATGATCTGCTTGGAGCAGAAAGATACATATAAAAATCTAGCAATACAAGGCAGGATAACCATCACACAGTAAGAGTTCAGGGAAGGAAGGACAGACAGGGAAGTATGACAGGCTGGAGATTTTAAGAAAGATTATTTTCCAAATGCTTTGTGAAAAATTTTAAATGTCCAGAAAAGTTGAGAGAATACATGTCCCACTTAGGTTTAACAGTAGTAAACATTTTGCCACATTTGGTTTTATCTAACTGTGTATATATAGTAAGTATTGTGTGTTTCACATGTATGCATACTCATACTTTTTTTTTCCTTGCAAAATCATTTGAAACTCTGGCATACATTCATTAAGAATAAAGATTCTCTCCTATATAGCCACAACAGCATGATCACACAGAAGAAAATTAACTATTTTCTCATCATCTAATAGCCAGGCCCTGTACTAACAATAGTAATAATAGCGAACATTTATTGAGCACCTATTATGTTCTAGGCACTGTGCTCAGCGCTTTATGGTTATTATCTCATTTAGTCACCTGAAAAAAACAAAAATATCAATAGGCACTACTGTAATCCCATACTATAGGCAAGGGAACAAGGGGGTTAAGTGAGTAGTGTGAAGTCCCATAGTTACTGAGTGGTAAACCATTCCAGACCTAAGGTTTTCTAACTCTAAAATGTCCCCTCTGAGCCACGACTCTACCTAGAGCTTTCCCATGGGCCTTCAAGACTCAGGGGGATTAGATATAAAGAGGAGGGGAAGGAGGATCTTCCTGGGCAGGGGGTGACACCCTGGAAACACAGTTGGGACATACAGGAGGTTTCAGGGAGAGAAAGTGACTGGCCTGGCTGCCGTTTGCCCCTGATTCCACAATCCCTCTGTTTTTCCTTCCCCGTGCCTTTTGATCAGGCATTGCTTATTTTTCTCTTGCACTAGGATTGAATTGGGAAAGTAGTTAATTGTCTTAGCTTGTTAGCAACTTTGATGAAAGATTAAGCAGAAGACAAGGAAAGCGGACTTGTGAGGATGACCCGTAGACCTTGGGTTTTCCTGTGGCTACTGCAGTGTGATGGGCAATGAGTAGCCGTCTGGCTTGGTGGTAGAATCTTGCCCAGTGAGGCAGCCCATGTTTGAATGCAAAGGATCTTGCAGGAAGAGCTCCTTTGCCTTTGACGGGCCTCCCTAGAAAACCACCATGGTCAGGCTGGTCTCTACTTGGCTATAACCTTTCTAGTCTTTCCCTCTCCAGCTCACAGACCTCCGAGGAGAGTGCCATTGAGACAGGTTCCAGCAGCTCTACCTTCATCAAGAGAGAGGATGAGACCATCGAGGACATCGACATGATGGACGACATTGGCATAGACTCCTCAGACCTGGTGGAGGACAGCTTCCTTTAACTGGAGGGTGTGAGGGGTACCTTCCACTCCTGGAGCCACTGTGGATCCTTTTAAGAAAACCACTTTATTGCAATGCAAAGTTTGAGAGGAGGACGTGGATGATGTGGAATGAGAAGTTCCTGGCCAAGGGCATCAGGGAGACTTCTCTGTATGAGTGAATGGGATATTTTGAAATGAACTTCTTCAGCGTTGCCTCTTGCAATGCTTCAGTAGCATCTCAACGTGTGAAATGTGGAGGTAGATGGACAAGGAAGTAATGGACCATGGAAGATGAACTTTGTGTTTCAAGGCATTTGGTGTGATTCCAACATACGCAATTTTTGTTGCAACAAAACTCCAGCATTGTAATTATGTAAATAACTCTAACCAAGGATATGTTTAGATTTGCATTAACTATCTTCTCTGGACCTCTGAAGAGACTGACCACTCAACCCATCCATGTACTTCCCGCCTGAAACCTGGTGTCAGCTGCTGTTGAACTTTCTTGTGAAGTACATGCAAAACCACTTTTGAGCCTTAAAAGGTACTGGTACTATAGCATTTAATTTTTTTTTTTTTTTTTAGTGTTAAAGAGATAAAGGCTAATGATTAACCAACCTTGTTTAATAGATTTGGGTCATTTAGAAGCCCAACAACTCATTTTTATGTTGTAATCTATGTTTATAATAATACTACTGTTATCCGTAATGCTAAATGTGTAATATGTAACACGTTTTCCCTACAGAGAAAGCACAATTTAAAAAACAATCCTTACAAAGTAGGTGACAAGTTTGACAGTTTTTGACATTTATATCAAATAACATCTGTTTCTCTATAAAATATGATAATAGCTTTAGTGGATTAAATTTAGTTGAACATAGAGAACAAAGTAAAAGTAGTGTCTTCCAGGAAGTCAGAGTTTTTAACTGTGTACGGAATAGGTTCCCTGATCTGTTGTACTAAAAACAATGAACTTCCCGCAGAAGTAATGGGTTTCAAAACAAACAAGCAAAACCCCTGAATCCTAAAAGTTCTCAATACAAAAGCATAAGCTTATGTCTAACATGGCTTCTCGTGCTATTGCCAGTGGAAAATACAATCATCAGCAACAAGATGCCATTTGCAGAGGTTTTTTCATGCCTGGTGATAACTTTGGTGGATCCCAACATACGTATTTTAAAAATTCTACAAACCCTAAAAGAGTCAGAAGGATGTTCTGAACACGAGCCCTCTTTCTTCATCTCTTAGCTCAGTGAAAAGTAGTTTGAAACTCTGAGACCATAAAGGCATTGCTTAGCGGAGGCTGCGTGTGTCTTTGTTTGGATCTTGGGTTCCCAAGTGGAACTGGCAACCAGAATCCCCAGATGCTATGTCCTCATCCCAGAGATTCTGAGTTATTGAGTTTAAGGGTGGGGAGCAGAAACCTGTGTTTTTATAAATGCCCCAGCTGTTCAGATCAGCCAGGTTTGGGAAAAGCTGGCTTAGGTTATAGGAAACTGCCATGGGAAAAAAATAATGTAAAATTAGGAACTGGGCTAGAAATCAACCACGCAGGAAGCCTACTATTTAAATCTTTGGCTTCAGATCAGTGACATTTATTGCCACATATCTAGCAATTGCTACCTGTAATTTAACTTTTCAATCTTAGCTGAGACTGAGTGCGCAGGTCTTCTGACAGTAAAGACACTGCTTCCCACTGCACGGAGGAACGGAACTCCCTCTCCCCCTGAGCCCCCACAGTATGTGTACCAAAATGATGCGATTCAGTGTGCCAAATCTCTAGAACCAGGTCAATATTTTGGTGGAAAAATAATCAGAAAGTTTTACTGATATTTTGGGGTTAGATGGGAGGGCAAATTGTCACATCTGCCCAAACTGTCAAAACAGGTTGGTGGGGGTTCCCTGGCGTTCTCTGCAATACTGCATAATCGCTGCCACCATATGAATGAAACATGGGCTGTGATTGCTGCAATCACTGTATGTGCTCCTGGCAGGTGATGCTTTGGAAGATATAAAAGCAATAACGAGGTACTTGACTACCTACTGGTGTAATCTCAATGCAAGCTCCAACTTTCTTATCTGCCTTTTTCATAGTATGAAGACTGAGCCAGATTGGCCAATTAAAAAACACACACAAAAAACACCTGACTTGGTTCTGTTGAGCCAATTAGACTTGAAATACGTTTGTGTTTCTAGAATCACAGTTCAAGCATTCTGTTTATCACTCTCCCTTGTACAGCCTTCTTTTGTTGGTACTTGCATTTTGATGTTCCTGTGAGTCTTGTGTGACATCATCAGGCTGGATGAGAATTCTCAGACCAGCAGGTTCCAGTCCTAATGAAGGTCCCACCTGAGCTGGCGTGTCATTGCATTTTTTAAAAAATGCAATTTTTTTCAGCATATCGAAGATTTGTTTCCTGTATGGCCTCCTGCGAAGTCCCAAGATGAAAATTTGCCAGTCCTTCCTGCTTTCCGTGTTTATGAAGACAATCAAAGCTGGCCTCAGAAACACAATTTGTGACTTTTAAAATGATCAGTGATGTCCTTAAAATGTGGTCTGCCAATCTGTAACAAAATGGTCCTATTTTTGTGAAGAGGGACATAAGATAAGATGATGTTATACATCAATATGTATATATGTATTTCTATATAGACTTGGAGAATACTGCCAAAACATTTATGACAAGCTGTATCACTGCCTTTGTTTATATTTTTTTAACTGTGATATTCCCCACAGGCACATTAACTGTTGCACTTTTGAATGTCCAAAATTTATATTTTAGAAATAATAAAGAGAAAAATACGTAAGTGTTCCCAAAACAGTGGTGTGGTGAATGTGTGAGGAGAACTAACTCGATCGTAAGGGTCTACCGATGCAAAGTGTATTACAAATCCCCGTTCATGTTTTTGTTTTTAAACATGTAAATGAAGATCTTTATATTTCAATAAATGAGATATATATAATTTAAAGTTATGCTAAGGTTCCAGCATTTTTTGTCTTTAGTTTAATCATATAAATTAAAGCAATCTTGTTCAATTTCTTTTCTTAGCAACATTCTAGTAGGACTATGTATTGTAGTTTTGATGAAACCAACAGAAAATTTAAGACTTACAGATTATTTGAGCTAGTTAGTTCTCAGACCCAGCATTTGACTTAAAGAAGATTGGCACTTGGCTCATCTTTGATTCTATCTTGTTTGTTTGTTACATTAGCATATTGTTATTTTTTAACTTTATTTTTCAATTACAGACTACTTTCAATATTATTTTATATTGGATTCAGGTGGACAGCATTGTGGTTAGACAATCATACAGTGTTTACATAGTGTTTCCCCTGATACTTCCATTACTCATCTGACACCAAACCTAGTTATTACAATATTATTGCCTATATTTCCTATACTGTACTTCATATTCCCATGACCAGTTTGTACTTCTTAATGCCTTCACCTCTTTCACCCAGCCCTCCAACCCCACCCCTCTGGGAACCACATGTCTGCTCTGTGTGTCTATAGTTTACCCTGGACAGCATTCAAACATTACAGAAGTGTGTCAAGTACGAAGTTAAAGATGTTTTCCACCATACCTTCTTCCCTGTCCCCATCCTGTTTTCCAGAGACAGAACTGCATCGTCTGGTGTGCATTCTTTTGTCCTAACAGCCTCCTCTCTGTGTATCTGCTTATGTGCATGCACAGGCACACCTTGGAGATACTGCAGGTTCGGTTCCAACCACTGCAATAAAACAAGTATCACGATAAAGTGAGTTGTAATCCTTTTGCTGGTGGAGGGTTTTGCTTTCAATTTGTAACACACACAACATCTGTAAAGTGTAATAAAGCTATTTTTGCTTTATATTTATTTAGGTAGGATTGTACTTTAGGTAATGTGTTATAATATGCTTTTCTCTCTTTCTCTTCTTATTAAAGAAAATAAATAGACTTTATTTTTTACAACAGTTTTAGGTCCATAGCAAAATTGAGAGGAAGGTACAGAGATTTCCCATGTACCCCCTGCCCCTCACATGCACAGCCTCCCTCATCACCATCCCCCACAGAGTGGTGTACGTATTTCAACTGATGATGTATCATTAACACCAGAGTCCACAGTGCCTGTTATTTTAAATACTATATTTTGGAGATTTATGTGAGAAGTATACGTAGATAGACCTCCCTCATTTTTTTTTTTTATCAGCTGCGTAGTATCCCACTATGTAACTGTACTATAATTCTGCCCTCACATTCCCATAGATGCATTTATGGTTTCCAGTTATTTGCTATTAAAATGACTTCATGATCATCCTGGCACACAAATAGTGTTTTGTTAAAATAGATTCCTAAAATAAAATCACTAGGCCCAAGGGTGTGCAGAATCCATGTCTTCAGATTTGATCGACACAGTAAATTCTTAAACGTCCACACGTGAATGACCTGCTTTGCAGATTATCTGCAGCTCCAGGCTTTCCCCAGCCTTGCATTGCTCACAGTGATGTGATATGTGTGGGACTATGTGGGTCTTTGTGATCTGAGGCATGTCCAATCAAATGTGGTTATGTTGTTAATAATTGGAAGATAGCACCTTCTCCCAATCTAACTCCTGTTACCCAAGTTCAAGTAGCCTGTGGATTCAAGTACACCTCCTTGGAGTTAAGAGCTGGAAGGAGCTGCTGAAGATTGGGTATGGGCTTGGCCTCTGTTCCAGGCCCAGGAAGAAGACAGATCCTCCTGCTGATTAAAAAATATCAGCCTAATCTAGCATCAAATCCATGCTTCAAGCCTGTGGAGAGATCTTTTTGTTCTCCTCTTGAATGTATAATTTTACCTCTTCATGCAATGCAGATAATCCTGCCTCCTCTTTAATGTATAATTTTACCTCTTAGTATTGCAGACAATTCGGCATCCTTTGTCTCATCATGATAATAAAAGGTGATTTACCACTGGAGAGTTTCAAAATTTTTTTGAAGATACTCTTCACATTGACTTATTTTGATGTTTAGCATAGCGCTTTGAAGTAGAGAAGACATTTCTAGATGAGGAAACCAAGTGACTTCTGAAGAGCATGCAAGTGACTAATGAGAACATTGAGATCAGAAATTTCAAATATAGGAACTCCAGTGCTGTTTAGGTCCTGCGATAAACAATGGAAAAGCAAGAGCTAGTGGGAAATGTCAGTGCTCAGGCGTACAATAGGTTGCTTTGCTTCTTGAGATATTTCAAAAGACAAGTGATGGACTAGGTGGCCTGTAGAACTATTTTGTGCATTTGTAATAAGAACAATTTCTTTTCAGGCTATACCACAACAGTTCTAATAATGAACATTATGATTTTAATAGTTACGTGCTTCATAAAATGCAGTTCAGGAAAATGGCTAAGAATACCTGAATCCATCATAAACTAGGCAATTTTCCCTGGGATAAGAGAGTGATAGAAATGCTTCATTATCTCTGACTGAAAATACATATAAGAATTAAACTGAACCACATTGTTACAGCAAAATCAATATACTGTGTTTATAACAGGCACAATTTTTTCCACAATTAAAATATATATGAAAATACATATGTGGCCTTAATTAACATTCTGTTCCGCCTGGTTA